CTATAACAGCTTTTTTTATCAGTTCTTTTGTTTTTGGGTCGTTATATTTCTCACAGATTTCTGCTCGTTCTAAATCAGATACAGATAAATGAGCACAGTAAAGATTACATTAATATGAATGCATTAGTGAGACAGCGATTGTGTGTGTGAATTAATTCTACCTGGCACTGCTGGCAGCGTCTCTCTACTAGTAGTGAAACTGTGGAATTTACTAGTTATTAAGAAATATATGCTTGAACTTTTCAGTTTCTAAGCTATTTTATTGAAAAAATCACAGAACGGTGTTGACAATACATTTCCGCGCTGAATGATTCTATGCGCGTGATGTGCGTTACTGTCTGTAGCCTATGTGTGTGCATTAATTTACAGTGCAGCAGCACATTAGATTAGAACGGCGATTAATTTACCTGTACAATAAGCTGTTTAAAACGTGCATTCTCTCGTTCAATTTCGAGCATCCAGTAATATAATCACACATGTCTTGTGGAGCGCTTTCAGAGTATGCATTTATTTGTCATTTGAACTGTTTGGAAACGGAGCGTAAATGTGGAATTCCTTCAAAGATTTCTTATCCTGTTGCGCCCTCTATAGGACCAGTGACTAGTCGAGGTCAAGCTTAAAGCGCCATGGCAGAGCATTGAAGTCGACTAGTCGATTAGTCTGTGCAACCCCTAGTAAAGATATGACGCTCTGTTATTTATTGCTTGTTAATGATTGTTCTTATTCAGTATTTTCGTTGTATGTATTGATATGGAGTAGCAATTTGACAATTTCGTGTTAAGTAAATGAAAGATTGCTCTGATCTGTCACATATTAGGGGTTAAACGGATCGCATCCGGGATACGTACAGACGAGACCCTATACTGTTCGGCACGCATGTGATTCGCAGATTAATTTGCCAATTTACACGTACAAGCAATTTTAAACCACAAAAATAAGAAATGAAAGAGAGCTCAATTCGATACTCACGCGCTGTTCTCGCACACAAGCAAAGCGCACACAAACAAAGCGCACACACGCATAGAGACGTGTTTCAGACAGCACGAAAATACCGAGTTGTGTATATGTACTCATAAAATTAGCTTATGTCGAAAACGCTTTACGGCATTGTCATTGTGCTTTAAATGTTTTTTTTTCTTGCTTATCCGAAAAAATAATCCGATCTGTGACTCAGAAAAACACAATATAATGCGTTGAACCACTATAATACTATATAATGGCCTAATATATATAAGGCTATTATTTCAATATATATATTAGTCGGTAGTGTGGGACTATTTTGGGTACACCAAGAATGACCAGGGTGTCATTTAAATATTGCCGTAAAAACTGCTGCTAAATAGCGAATACACGGCTTTAAACTGTTTTAATGCAGGACGTGAAGGCAAGACTGACGCGAAGCTACGGCTTGTTAACTCAGTATTCTAACCACTTCAGGTCAGACAGATGAAATAGTGTGGTAAGATCACATTTATTTGAATTAATTAGAACATTTAGTTACTTGAATTAATTATTCGATCAAGAGAGAGAGAGAAGTGTGTGTGTGTGTTTGTGTGTGTGTGTGTGTGTGTGTGTGTGTGAACCTGCGTCAGCGCGTCTCTCAACAAACGTGAGTTACTTAAACTGTGATTTTACCCTCTCCTTGCTGATGAATATGTAGCAATTCAGTATCTAAGCTATTTTATAAAAAAAAAGTCAAAGGGCAGGGTTCACAACAAGTTTGTGTCCTCCTGAATGTTTGCATGTGTGCGCAGCGCGATCTCCGGTCTCACAAACCAAAATAATAGACATGATTTTCTCAGGCCACATGTAAAATCATATGAATTATTATAAAAATTATTAAAATGAATATGTATGGATGACAGTTGATTATAATAGTTCAGTTTATTCCCCTCATCATTAATAGTTTCCCCTGTGGGATAAATAAAGTTAATAGTCCTATATTAATAATACTTATTAACATTGTTATATATGATCCCTTTTATAGTATTATGCATTAGTCAAAAACCAACAAGATCTTTTCACCATGCTTCCAGTTTTCTGCCTCAGGTCCAAAAGAGGTGTAAAGAATGTACAAACTGAAAACACTAAATACTTTTGTGATCTATTTTCACTAGTTATTTTCAAAAGGGAAATACTGACATGGATGTTTATAGAGCAGAGGTCACCTTTTTAATTCCAATTGGAAAGATAGACATTTGTTTGTCTTTATTATTATTATTATTTTGTGCTGTATTATTGGTTACTGTGTTATTTCTGTTTCTAAAGGCAGCAATAAATAACACTTTATTATCTAAAGTGTCCATGTGAATTTATAAAATAATAATTTTGTGAAATTAATAAATGTATAATAATCATAATAATCGTGAAATCGTGATTATTCCTCAGACAATAATCGTACCAACAAAATCTATAATAGTTGCATCCCTAGTCTGCCCCGAAGCCTCCTCCCAGTGGGACATGTCCTGAACACCTCACCAGGGAGGCATCCAGGAGGCATCCGAAACAGGTGCCGAGCTCCTCCCCCCCCCCCCCCCCCCACAACCTGGAGGGAGCAATCCACCTTTTTCCGACTGAGAACCACGGCTTCGTTTTTGGAAGTGCTGATTCTCATCCCCGTCGCTTTGCCCTCGGCTGCAAACATCTCCAGTGCATGCTGCAAGTCTTGATTTGATGAAGCCAACGGGGCCACATCATCCGCAAAAAGCAGAGACGATAACGATATCTTGCAGCCTAAACAGACAGCTCCCTGGCTGTGCCTAGACATTCTGTCCATGAAAATAATGAACAGAATTGGTGACAAAGGGCAGCCCTGGCGGAGTCCGACATGCATCGGAAACAGGTCTGACTTACTGCCGGCAATGTGAACCAAGCTCCTGCTCTGGTCATACAGGGAGCGAACAGCCCGTAGCAACGAGCCCTGAACCCCATAATCCCGAAGTCCCTCCCACAGGATGCCACAAGGGACACAGTCAAATGCCTTCTCCAGGTCCACAAAACACATATGGGACTGGTTGGGCAAACTCCCATGAACCCTCAAACACCCGAGTGAGGGTATAGAGCTGGTCCAGTGTTCCACGGCCACGGAACAAACATATCAATTGAAATATTTTTTCTGTAGGCTTGTCAGGATTATTATATAATCGCCTCATCGTAATTATTTGATTTAATCGTTGTGCACATGAACTCCCAATCACATATTGCCAGTCGAGTAAGTGAACACTTTCATTTATTTTTCTTTCAAATTAGCATTAGAATTACAGAATATATGTTCTGCATATATTTATATAATTTAGAGTAGTTTTTCATTCTAAAGTTTACAACATTTGTTTACAAAAATATCTAGGATATCAAGCAATTTATTGATGTTTCCAAGTTCAGTGTGAATAAATGACTTGTAAATCATGTGTGTAAGCTGTCGGAGTTGATGGCTTCATGGGCGTCAACATGTAGCGCAGACGTCTTTGAGTTCTATTCCCGACTCAAGGTCCTTTGTCGATCCCTTTCCCCTCTCCCCTGCTTTCCTGTCTGATCTCTATACTGTCCTATCCAGTAAATGAATGAAATGGCCAAAAATATAATTTAAAAAAATATATGTATAAGCTGACATTAACAAATTTGGATTGTTATTCACAATAATCTGCATGACATTTAATCACCAGACAAAATTGTATGGACAGCACTGGTGCTCTGCAAGAATGAGGCAGCAGAATAGATTCATCCTGTTGCTCCTTCCTGTTCAGAAAGATTGGTGTGCCACCCCCTTCCTCTCAGACTGCTGGAATGTGTGAACGTGGTTTGGATTTGTAGTATGAAGGTTCATTCGACATCGTTATAATCAAAAAATGCAAGTTGGCATGATGTTATGATCGTCTGTTTGACCAATTATGAAATTATGGAAATGTTGACCCAGGGAGATATTGGGAAAAGTACATGTGAGCCTTTCCTTGTGTTCTCAGGAAGACAGTGTTTCCTGTGGTGTTCCTTGTTTGCTATTCCAGATAAGATAAATCAGCTTGACAATTGTGTTTCCATCTGATACATTTGTTTTACCATCTCTGAACACGGCCTAAGAAACATCCGATTGGTGATACAGTGATTTCTTAAGTCAAACTAGTTCTGTGATGACAACTCTCAGAAGGATTGGCATGGTAATGTACATGACAATGTTAATGTATTTGGCCTTGGCGGAATAGAAACTTTTTTATTCAAAAAATATATTAATGGACATTTTAAAAAAGAATTATCCTGGGCCGATTTTCAAATTTTTGTCGTGCATTAAGCTGAAAGACTCTATATAATTATTCTTATTACTTTTGTTCTTGTTATTATTTTTATTTTATGTATGTTTTTGTATATTTGTACCTATTTATTTATTTATATATATAATTTTCAAACAAAATTGTTATATAATTGTTTTGAAATTATATATACGATTGAATTGTGAAATTGAAATGTTTCCTCTTGCCATGAATATAGCCACTGCTGACATGGCATTAAATCATAAATAAATAAACTTGGCGGAATAGATCTGCTACGCTGCTGCTGCTGCTGCTGCTGCTGCGGCAGAGCAAATACCGAGACTTGCTACTGCCAATACATCCACAGCATGCTGCTGTAAGCATGTAAGAAATACTGCTGCTGCACATATAAGACATATGAATAACCCCCATATAGCATACATGAATCACCCCGTAGCAGATCTATACAGGTGGAGCTGGGGAAGGTGGAGGGTTTCTGAAGTGCGCTGCCAACTGCTACAGCAAACAAAAGTCAGGTATTTGAATATTGAGCAGCGAGCTCATTGTTACTGATACAGGAGAGAACCAATCAGCTGCCATGTGACAATGATGTCGCCAGGTCAGATTGAGCTAGACCTATTGGACTGCGCCATCTAGAGTTTCATGCCAGAACTCTGTATTTATTCAGACAACCCACAAGACTGAGAGTACAAAGAAAATATTTGAACCATTGATCAATGTTGCTTGTGTCCCCTACAGATAAGAACTTTGATGACGAGGACTCTGTGGATGGGGGCAGGTCCTCCTCCTCTTCTAAGGGCTTCTCCAACAGCAAGAGAGGGGGCAGCATGGGCTCAATGAGACGACCCAGTTCTGCCTCTGGATCCAGGGCTCCAGGTAAGACTACAGCTCAACCCCAGGATACCACTGAAAAACTAAAGTCCGATTACTCATCACAGTAAACACTATAGACATTCATAAACACTGCACATAAACATGTTGAACAAGGAGAAATTTAGTTGTTCACAGAGAGATTATCTATTGAAAAGCTTGTAGCTCAAAAAAAGCAGAAGAGACATTGAGAAATGAGTGGAGATAAATAAGGATTCTGTTGGCTGGGTAAGAGGCATGTTGCAGATTTCTACATTATATAACAGTCTTTGATGAATTAAACTCTAATTTCTGTGTGGTTTGTGTGATGGATTTAAATAGCAGACACACACACATATACATATAGTAAGATTTTTTTTTTCTAAATTAATACTTTTATTCAGCAAGGATGCATTAAATTGATCAAAATTACAACTTTTTATTCATTAAACAATCCCCTAAAATATTTAAAAAATGATATAAAAGTGATAATAATAATAACTGTTTCTATTATGTATGAGTATGAAATCAGCATATTATAATGATTTCTGAATGATCATGTGACTGCTCTGCCATCACAGGAATAAAATACATTTTAAAATACATGAAATAGTTATTTTAAATTGTACTAATATTTTGCTATATATTTTGATCAAATAAATCCAGCCTCATGTTTATACACAATTACATTAAAAGCTTCAAGCATTATTTACTTAACTGAGAAATATTAAAAGACTACATGCCATTGTTTGATTTACTTAGTTAAAATTTATAATAATAAGTACTAATATTAATGTATGATTATTTAAATTAAATGGTCTGTTAAATTTTTCAATAGATTTGTTAAAAACGAATTATTTAGTATCAAAATCGAGAATTGTACAGTTTCACCAATATTGGCACTGACCGCTAAATCTTTTTTTATTTTTTTTATTTTGTGATTGCGGTTCCTCAGTGAAGGATAGTGTCAGTGCAGGAGCTGTGGATGAAGAGGATTTTATCAAGGCTTTTGAAGATGTACCTGCAGTTCAGGTAATGCATCGTGAAAACTAAAAAGATGGACTCCTTGCATTTAAACACACAGTGCAAGAAATAAATATGCTGTTCGTTTTCAGATATATTCCAGTAAGGAGTTGGAGGACTCCTTGAATAAGATCCGTGAAGTTCTGTCCGATGACAAGCAAGACTGGGAACACCGTGTCACTGCTGTGAGTTATTCCTGATCTGTTTCACTTCTACTTTTGTCGACATTATGCACACCCCAACTTGAAGAATGCGTCTTCAGCAAGGCACTAAAAAACTCTTATCATGTATTTAGCTGAAGAAAGTGCGGTCGCTGGTTCTGGCTGGTGCAACCGAACATGAGGGTTTCCTTCAACATCTACGGCTTTTAGAAGCTGCCTTCAAGCTGTCGGCTAAAGATCTTCGGTCTCAAGTGGTTCGAGAGGCCTGTATCACATTAGGGTATGAAGCCATTCTTTCATAACACTTTTTCTTCCAGTCTCTGTTAGGATATTTATTTAATATAGTGTACAAGTCTGACATCCACTACCAAAATCGACTTGTTTACGGTCAGCTAGTAGGATGCCACCTTTAGATATCCATTGATCAAAGACACACTTCAACAGCAGGCCAATTTATCACAAATCCAGTCGTACAGGTATTTCATCATATTCCGCTTCATGTTTTATCTCAAATATCATCGGGATACAGCTTTAGAAAGTGCTGTTTAAAGGGGTAAATGAAGCTGTTGTGCGGGTCTCTGTGATTGAGCATGGCTCAGTGTGGGTCTTTAATTATTCTGGGTCTTAATGTGTTTCTAATGAAGTGGAACCGAGCTGACTGGAGCATGCAGGACAGATCTTCTTCTAAAGTGCAGCCATTTGATGGATATCTAAACAAGTCCCATGCCTTAATGTCAAACAAATTTGATTCATTTCCATCTAGACCCGAAGTTAACGTATACTTATATTCGTGTTTTGTCTCTCAGGCATCTGTCTTCAGTGCTGGGGAATAAATTTGATCATGGGGCTGAAAACATCATGCCTACGCTGCTCAACTTGGTGCCCAACTGCGCCAAAGTTATGGCCACGTCTGGAATGGCAGCCATCCGCCTCATCTTGCGAGTGAGTCTGATGAAAAGACAATTCTTTACATTTTACTTTTCTCTAGTTAGATTCTTTTAATTCTCTAATTTCTCTATATTAGTGCTTTAAGTAGCCACTATAATAAATAAATATAAAGTGACACAAAAACTACCTCGCTGTTTACTGTCTACACAGGCAGCCAGCTACCTTCTAAGGTAGCACCTACCTTACTTGGAACCTCATAAATGACAAAATTGGGATGTTCTACATAGGCAGCAACTTCACACATAGTGCTCCTTATATGAAGTGACTCAGTTTTGATATTAGTATGTTGTTAAGAAAACAACAAAAATCATAAATAGTCCATTGAAAGCTGCCTTAGTGGCTTGACCAAAAATTATGAACCTTTTGGAACAGACTCTACATTAGAGATATGAAGCCTTAAAGTGCTGTCTAGGTTGGCAGCTCATTAGAATTGCAGCAGCTAATATGCACATGTACCTCACTATTAATGACCTTTTCAGAGGCTTCAACAGCATTTTTGTGATTTTAAAATTTGGGGGTCAGTACGATTTTTTTTTCTTGAAGGAAGTCAATACTTTTGTTCAGCAAGGACACATTAATTTGATCAAATGTGTCAGTAAAGTAATTTATAACGTTACAAAAGTGTTCCAATTTCAAATAAATGCTGCTCTTTTGAAAGTTCTACTCATCAAAAAAATTCTGAAAAATAAATTTTGGTTTACACAAAAATACATTGATAATAATAATAATATGAATAGATGTTACTTAAAAACCAAATCAGGATATTAGAATGATTTCTGAATGATCATGTTGCACTGAAGACTGAAGTAGTGACTGCAGAAAAGTCACTAAAATGTGACTTTTCTGCAAAAAAAATTCAAATGAATTCAAATAGAGTTTAAATTATAATAATACTTCATAATAATGCTGTTTTTACGGTATTTTTGATCAAATAAATGTAGCCTTGGTGAGCATAAGAGACTTCACAACAATCTTACCAACCCCAAACTTTTGAACGTGTATATTCTATTCTATATTTTATTTATTTGTTTAATATTCTAGCACCAAGATTTGTAATTGCACTTTTGTCTTTCCCAGCACACACACTTCCCACGCCTTATCCCGATCATCACCAGCAACTGCACTTCTAAATCTGTGGCTGTTCGAAGGTAAACTAGAGCTTCCTGAGAGAACTGTTTGGAAATAATTTTTTTCTTTCTTTTTTTTGCAGAGCATAAACTAGAAAGCCATTGTCTTCTTATACAAATGCTTGTTCACTTTCACCCCATCAGACGGTGTTATGAGTTTTTAGACCTGTTATTGCAAGAATGGCAGACACACACTCTAGAGAGGTGAGTGGAAAATGATTGATGTTGTATTGAGAATGAAGTTATTCGTTTTTGTGAAGTGCTTTTTGCTCATAGAATTTAGTTTGTGTTTATTCCTTCTCCGGACAAAACTGTCACACCCTCCCTTTCCTGTTTTTGTGACATTTAACTGGTGAAAACGTGTTACTTATCAAAGCTCGGCTGAACGGGCAACTGATGATTCTTTTCACGGGTTTAATTGATGAGCCAGGGATGTGTGGCAACCATGCGTCCCGGCCGTTTCCATGGCAATATAGCCAAGAGCTCTTTTATAAGAAGGTCTGGACTCCCCTTATCCTCTCTTTCCCACTGTGCTGCCTTTGGAGAACTGGGAGAAAGGTCTGGCATCTGGTCCAGAAAGTTTCAAAGGAGACAAAGTGAATTCACTGTTGGTTCTGCAGACTGTAAGAAACAGTATTCATCATGTTTCCCTACTACCCCAGGCATGTGGCAGTTCTCACTGAGACCATCAAGAAGGGGATCCATGACGCTGACTCAGAGGCCAGATCTGTGGCCAGAAAGTAAGTCCGTTTGCCTTTTTCTGTTGTTTGGTTAAATGTAGCATAAGCAGTACTTTGAGATATTAATTTATGCATTGTTCGATTTGATAATGCATTTAACGTTTGTATCAGTCTTGATCATTTACATGTCCGTTTGTTTTATAGGTGTTACTGGGGATTCCATGGCCATTACAGTCGAGAGGCAGAGCACCTGTTTCAGGCATTGGAGTCGACCTATCAGAAGGCCCTCCAGTCTCACCTGAAGAGTTCTGACAGTATAGTGTCTCTACCGCAGTCTGACCGCTCCTCCTCAAGCTCGCAGGAGAGCCTCAAGTAAGACATGCACACATTTCACTTACCACCATACATGAATTCGTACGTTATTATTATTATTATTATTATCTGCATTGCTGATTTGACGATATTTTCACAAATAGCTGTATATACTGTACACTACCGTTCAAATGTTTGGGTTAAGATATTCTGATGGACCGTGTGACACTTAAGACTGGAGTAATGATGCTACAATATATTAAAATAGAAAACAGTTATTTTACATTTTAATTGTATTTGACAATACAACTGTCTTTTAATGCATTTTAGATTAAATAATTGCAGCCTTGGTCAGCAGAAAAACATATTTTACTTACCCCAAATATTTGAACAGTTGTATATAATCAGAAGGCCCTCCAGTCTCACCTGAAGAGTTCTGACAGTATAGTGTCTCTACCGCAGTCTGACCGCTCCTCCTCAAGCTCGCAGGAGAGCCTCAAGTAAGACATGCACACATTTCACTTACCACCATACATGAATTTGTACGTTATTATTATTATTATTATCTGCATTGCTGATTTGACAATATTTTCACAAATAGCTGTATATACTGTACACTACCGTTCAAATGTTTGGGTTAAGATATTCTGATGGACCGTGTGAAACTTAAGACTGGAGTAATGATGCTACAATATATTAAAATAGAAAACAGTTATTTTACATTTTAATTGTATTTGACAATACAACTGTCTTTTAATGCATTTTAGATTAAATAATTGCAGCCTTGGTCAGCAGAAAAACATATTTTACTTACCCCAAACATTTGAACAGTTGTATATAGCCATATAATTCAGTGGTTTTATACAATAATGTTGTCTCTGTGGTGTCTGCTATCCCATGCTAACAAAAACTGTGAGTTATGGCTGGCCCTGTTGGAATCTGTGAAATATTTGCCAGTTGGCTGATGGACCACGTGCACAGATTGATGACTGTGCTTTCTAGCATGTTGAGTCTCCTCTGGATATGAAGCAGTGATCTCATCTTCAATATTAGACTGCAGCATCTGTTACACTGTCTCCTTGTTGTTCAGAGGCAGTGAGATCATCTTGCATTAGCACCAGTGTGATGAGTGACAGCTCTAATGATCACAATCTGCTATCAAAAAACAGCAAACACTGCTGTGTCATAATCACAAAAATGGAAAGAAAAAAGTGTGACCAAGAAGGGGTTACAAGCAAATTAATGTTGTAATTTGATTGTGATTTATGATTTGTAGAGTCAATCAATATTCACACTTGCTTCCTATAATAAATTAACAAGTGTGAATATTCTGAGTATAGTTTTAATGCTTTTTTTATTTTGCCATTAAATTCCCAAAAGTGCATGTCATTCTAGTAGTTTCAAAATCCCTCTTTGTCTTTTAGTAAGTGAGTATGACAGCGTTTAGATTTTTTTTTTTTAAATGTCTTATTTTTAAACTTGTGTTTTTAACAACATTTTTACTGTTTTAGGTGAAAATCTATTTGGCAACAATATTGGTAAAATATATTGTAACTTGTCAAAAGGCTGAAAAATGTTCAAATATATCTTTTTGAAATTACTGATTAAATTCATTTTATTCTAATTATATTGCTGTCGCTAAAATCTTTTTATCTGCATTCCTGCAGTCGACCGCTGTCAGTGAAGAGTGTCATTGGAGGCCCTGTTACAAGAAGTAAGTAAAGTAACACTTTTTATGGTTGCTTAGCACATATATACAAACATGCCATTTTGCCATGTCTGTAAATCTTGTGTGTGTAACATTTCCTCAGGTAAAGTGATCGGCTCTAGGGTGTCCTCCACCCCTGGTGCCCTCCAGCGTTCCCGCAGTGACATAGATGTGAACGCCGCCTCCAGTGCCAAATCTCGCATGTCCACCGCAACCTCCCCATCTCCCTTCAGCTCCGCTGCAGCTCTGCCTCCAGGCTCCTATGCCTCCCTGGGTGAGACCCCATCATACTCTGTCCATCTTTTCTCCTCTTTCATCCTTAATTAGGAATTTTAATAAAACAGCCATAAATTTCAGTGGCTTTTATGGCTGCAGCGGCCCATTAATAATACTGATGGGCAGCATAGATGCTATTAAGCTGCTCTGTGATGAGGAACAAACGACGAGTGTGTGCCACAGATTTATTATCCTGTGTTATGACTTCAAATTCTGATTGGATAAGACTATTTGTTTGAAGTATCTTAGAAATTACTTCCTGGAATAATAGTATTATTAATAATACAATTATTTATTCAACATGTCTTTTATAATTTCTTTTCTTTTTTTGAGCTACATTTTCCTTGATCATTTTGCTCTTTCTGCCATTTTATGAAAACTATAAGCCAAACCCTGTGCACTACAGTGTAAAATCACTGTGACACACATTATTTTGTGGCTTATTACTTCAGTTATCTTATCACTGGTTTTCTCAGTGTTAGTTTTTCAGCAGAGTGCACAAGGGAACGTTGGAGCTTAATAATGCATCGGTCCTTCGTGAGAAATGTTCAGTATTCATCCCAGAACTCACCACTTAATGTTTGACCACTAACTTGCTTGTTACTTTTGACTGTATAATGTTTTCTAATCCCATGATTCCTTAAAAATGATCAAAGAGATTTTATTTCCTTACCCGCAGTCACACTCACTAGCTCCCGTGTGCTTCCATACAAGGCCCGTTTCTGAGCAGATCCCTGTCTTCCACACTTCCATGGGCTTATCTAACTCTAACCTCTGCCTCTTATGCCTCTCCTCTCCTCCACCCTGCACTCCCCTGCTTTTGTTTTTGTGTTTTTGCCCCAAAGACGGTGCACCTGGTAAAATAGATGGTAAGAAGTATGTGTATATGTGTGTGTGAGCGTGAATGTCCACCCTCTGTGCTGTCGGAGGGATTCGAGCAGTGTTTCTGTCCCATTTGTCAATAAACAACTGTACACCTGGTGATCTGTCCATGCTAGTGGTCTGCATGACCTGTTTTGCATGATATATCCCCCCCTCCTCTTGACAATAAATAACAACAGTAGTTCAGTGAAATGAAAATGGTCCCTTGTACTTCATATTATCTGTTGTGTCATTTGTACTTGTATGCTTTAAAAAAGGTTATTGAAATGAATTGGTCAAAAGTGTGGGAACCACGTATACAGGTGTGGTATTGGTTTAGTTAAGGATTTCTTCTGAGGTTAGCATAGAGCATATAAAATTGCTGTTTTGTGCAGTTTCATACAGGAAATTCGTGTAAAAAAAAAAATCAACTAATTTTTTTTGGTTTACAAGAACTCAGTAGATATGCTACTGTTCAGAAGATTGAGGTTGGTGGTGTTTTTAAAAATATTTTTGTTAGATCTCTTATGCTACATTTATTTGATAAAAAATGCAGTACAAATAGTAAGATTGTGAAATATTACTACATTTTAAAATAACCGTTTTCATTGCAGCCATTACTCTAGTCTTCAGTGTCACATGATCCTTCAGAAATAAATCTAATATATTAATTTGGTGCTCTAGAAATATTACTTATTTTTTATCAATTGCTGCTTAATATTTTTGTGGAAACCATGATGCATTTTTTAGGAGTCTGATGAACGGAGTTTTCAAAAAAGTAGCATTTATTTGAATCGTTTACAATGTTATAGATGTCTTTACTGTCACTTATGGTCAATTTAATGAATCCTTGATTAAAAAAAGTGTTAAATTCTTTCCAAAAATGAAATTTTATGGACCGCAAACTTTTGAACGGTTGTGTATGATTTGATAGATAGGTTTGCTCAGAAGCTAATAATATCCTGTGTTCCACCAGTCACCAGTCTTCTCAGTAGAGCATGTCATGTAATTCCTTTCAGTCAGTATATTTTGATTGTTTTCATCAGGGAAATATCTTTGTTTGTCCTCAGTATCCCTTGTTGTTTAAACCTTTCAGTCTGTCTCTCTTTGTGTCAGTCACTCTAAATATCTCCCTTCCTCTCAGGCATTTTATTACCTCATCTCATGCTCTTTTTTTTACCTACAGGTCGAGTGCGGACGAGAAGGCAGAGCTCAGGGAGTGCGGTCAGCGCCAACAGCACCGTTACAGACAGCCGTGGTCGAAGCAGAGCTAAAGTGGTCTCTCAGTCCCAACGTAAGTGTCTGTGTGGACGTTGGTCTGTGTGGACGGATTTTTTTAAAGAACCATAGCATGATATTATTTATAATCTACCATGGCTTTACTACTAAAAGCTTTAGTGTTATATTGTGTATATGTTGCAATGTTAATGTTTGTTAATGAAATTAACAAACACCATTACATGGCTCTCTGAAATACTTTATTCTGATTAGTCATTATGCTGTCACTACATTCAGCTGCCACATATATTTCTATATAATTGCCACTAAACCTTATATTTAAGTTGCTATATACAGCTGTTAATTGCATGTCTGATATCACTCCACATTTTCTTTCTTTAAACATAATAAAATAATTTCTTGCCAAATCAATTTTTTTAGATTGTGAAAAATAATAATAATAATAATAATAAAGCTCTTATTTTATTAGAGTAATGAAGAAATTAATTTAAATAAATAAAAAAATAAAAAATGTAATATATTTAAATAGTTATCCCTTGAAAAAAAAAAAGATATATATATATATATTTTTTGTGGGGGTGGGGTGAAATGGTACCCCTGAAAAAAATTTATCACATTTCCCACAAAAATATTTAGTAGCACAACTGTTTTCAAAAAAGTTATAATAGTTTTTTAAACATCAAATCAGCATATTAGAATGATTTCTGAAGGACCGTGTGACACTAAAGAATGGAGTAATGGCTGCTGGAAATTCAGCTTTGCCCTCACAAGAATAAAGTACATATTCAAATATATTAAAATAAAAAACAGTTAATTTTACATTTTAATGGTATTTGACAATATAACTGGTCTTTTATATGTCTTTTATAAAGTCTTTTAATGCATTTTAGATTAAATAAATTCAGCCTTGGTCAGCAAAAGAGTCTTTCTGACTCTTCTGGTCTTACTGAACCCAAACTTTTGAATGGTAATGTATAACTATGTAGTTCAGTGATTTTAAATAATACTGCTGGCTCTGTGGTGGTTGCTATCCCATGCTATCAAAAACTGTGAGTTATGGCTGTCCCTGTTGAAGCTGCTGAAATATTTGCCAGCTGGCTGATGACAGATTGTTGATTATGCTTCCTAGCATGCTGAGCATGAAGCAGTTATCTCATCTTCAATATTAGACTGCAGCATCTGTTACATTGTCTCCTTGTTGTTCTGTGAAATCATCTTGTGTTAGCATCAGTGTGATGAGTGACAGCTCTAATGATCACAATCTGCTATCAAAAGCAGCAAACACTATTCACACAATATAAACATTTGCTTCCTAAATAAAAATTACTGATTAATTTCATTGCCATTTTATTCACTCTATTCTTATTGTACTGCTGTTGCTAAAATCTTTTTAATTACATTCTTGCAGTCGACCGCTGTCAGTGAAGAGTGTCATTGGAGGCCCTGTTACAAGAAGTAAGTAAAGTAACACTTTTTATGGTTGCTTAGCACATATATACAAACATGCCATTTTGCCATGTCTGTAAATCTTGTGTGTGTAACATTTCCTCAGGTAAAGTGATCGGCTCTAGGGTGTCCTCCACCCCTGGTGCCCTCCAGCGTTCCCGCAGTGACATAGATGTGAACGCCGCCTCCAGTGCCAAATCTCGCATGTCCACCGCAACCTCCCCATCTCCCTTCAGCTCCGCTGCAGCTCTGCCTCCAGGCTCCTATGCCTCCCTGGGTGAGACCCCATCATACTCTGTCCATCTTTTCTCCTCTTTCATCCTTAATTAGGAATTTTAATAAAACAGCCATAAATTTCAGTGGCTTTTATGGCTGCAGCGGCCCATTAATAATACTGATGGGCAGCATAGATGCTATTAAGCTGCTCTGTGATGAGGAACAAACGACGAGTGTGTGCCACAGATTTATTATCCTGTGTTATGACTTCAAATTCTGATTGGATAAGACTATTTGTTTGAAGTATCTTAGAAATTACTTCCTGGAATAATAGTATTATTAATAATACAATTATTTATTCAACATGTCTTTTATAATTTCTTTTCTTTTTTTGAGCTACATTTTCCTTGATCATTTTGCTCTTTCTGCCATTTTATGAAAACTATAAGCCAAACCCTGTGCACTACAGTGTAAAATCACTGTGACACACATTATTTTGTGGCTTATTACTTCAGTTATCTTATCACTGGTTTTCTCAGTGTTAGTTTTTCAGCAGAGTGCACAAGGGAACGTTGGAGCTTAATAATGCATCGGTCCTTCGTGAGAAATGTTCAGTATTCATCCCAGAACTCACCACTTAATGTTTGACCACTAACTTGCTTGTTACTTTTGACTGTATAATGTTTTCTAATCCCATGATTCCTTAAAAATGATCAAAGAGATTTTATTTCCTTACCCGCAGTCACACTCACTAGCTCCCGTGTGCTTCCATACAAGGCCCGTTTCTGAGCAGATCCCTGTCTTCCACACTTCCATGGGCTTATCTAACTCTAACCTCTGCCTCTTATGCCTCTCCTCTCCTCCACCCTGCACTCCCCTGCTTTTGTTTTTGTGTTTTTGCCCCAAAGACGGTGCACCTGGTAAAATAGATGGTAAGAAGTATGTGTATATGTGTGTGTGAGCGTGAATGTCCACCCTCTGTGCTGTCGGAGGGATTCGAGCAGTGTTTCTGTCCCATTTGTCAATAAACAACTGTACACCTGGTGATCTGTCCATGCTAGTGGTCTGCATGACCTGTTTTGCATGATATATCCCCCCCTCCTCTTGACAATAAATAACAACAGTAGTTCAGTGAAATGAAAATGGTCCCTTGTACTTCATATTATCTGTTGTGTCATTTGTACTTGTATGCTTTAAAAAAGGTTATTGAAATGAATTGGTCAAAAGTGTGGGAACCACGTATACAGGTGTGGTATTGGTTTAGTTAAGGATTTCTTCTGAGGTTAGCATAGAGCATATAAAATTGCTGTTTTGTGCAGTTTCATACAGGAAATTCGTGTAAAAAAAAAAATCAACTAATTTTTTTTGGTTTACAAGAACTCAGTAGATATGCTACTGTTCAGAAGATTGAGGTTGGTGGTGTTTTTAAAAATATTTTTGTTAGATCTCTTATGCTACATTTATTTGATAAAAAATGCAGTACAAATAGTAAGATTGTGAAATATTACTACATTTTAAAATAACCGTTTTCATTGCAGCCATTACTCTAGTCTTCAGTGTCACATGATCCTTCAGAAATAAATCTAATATATTAATTTGGTGCTCTAGAAATATTACTTATTTTTTATCAATTGCTGCTTAATATTTTTGTGGAAACCATGATGCATTTTTTAGGAGTCTGATGAACGGAGTTTTCAAAAAAGTAGCATTTATTTGAATCGTTTACAATGTTATAGATGTCTTTACTGTCACTTATGGTCAATTTAATGAATCCTTGATTAAAAAAAGTGTTAAATTCTTTCCAAAAATGAAATTTTATGGACCGCAAACTTTTGAACGGTTGTGTATGATTTGATAGATAGGTTTGCTCAGAAGCTAATAATATCCTGTGTTCCACCAGTCACCAGTCTTCTCAGTAGAGCATGTCATGTAATTCCTTTCAGTCAGTATATTTTGATTGTTTTCATCAGGGAAATATCTTTGTTTGTCCTCAGTATCCCTTGTTGTTTAAACCTTTCAGTCTGTCTCTCTTTGTGTCAGTCACTCTAAATATCTCCCTTCCTCTCAGGCATTTTATTACCTCATCTCATGCTCTTTTTTTTACCTACAGGTCGAGTGCGGACGAGAAGGCAGAGCTCAGGGAGTGCGGTCAGCGCCAACAGCACCGTTACAGACAGCCGTGGTCGAAGCAGAGCTAAAGTGGTCTCTCAGTCCCAACGTAAGTGTCTGTGTGGACGTTGGTCTGTGTGGACGGATTTTTTTAAAGAACCATAGCATGATATTATTTATAATCTACCATGGCTTTACTACTAAAAGCTTTAGTGTTATATTGTGTATATGTTGCAATGTTAATGTTTGTTAATGAAATTAACAAACACCATTACATGGCTCTCTGAAATACTTTATTCTGATTAGTCATTATGCTGTCACTACATTCAGCTGCCACATATATTTCTATATAATTGCCACTAAACTTTATATTTAAGTTGCTATATACAGCTGTTAATTGCATGTCTGATATCACTCCACATTTTCTTTCTTTAAACATAATAAAATAATTTCTTGCCAAATCAATTTTTTTAGATTGTGAAATAATAATAATAATAATAATAATAAAGCTCTTATTTTATTAGAGTAATGAAGAAATTAATTTAAATAAATAAAAAAATAAAAAATGTAATATATTTAAATAGTTATCCCTTGAAAAAAAAAAAGATATATATATATATATTTTTTGTGGGGGTGGGGTGAAATGGTACCTAGTCATGTTTTTATGAAATTCACCTTCCTAGGTGTTAGGAGCTCAGATACAGATAGATAACTATTGGTCTGCCACCACTATCATCTTCCTTTTTGTCTCTGTCAGTTTTGTATTTAATGTTTTCACAACCCAGTTTGGCACCCTGCTGAATGTGGAGTTTATTCCACAATTATAGTTAAAGCCACTCTTTGGCATTAAATGTGTAGTATTGAAGTTTCTAGAGCACAAATAAACAACACCTTGCCTGATGCATGCTGGGTAACCATGCGTCACATCAAGCGTCTTTTGTAACTGGCTACTTTTCACCTGTCCGTTGCCTTGCTTCCATACACAAGGATCCAGATCAGCTAACCCCACTAGTGGTAAGCCCCCTGTTCATCAGAATAAAGCTGCGTTAATACCCTCAATACGAACCCTGCATGAATTACATGTCTACCATAATGTTGCATGTCCTGCTTTAGCTTAATCTTTTTATTTCTGTTTAAATAGAGGTCAGACATTATGATAGTTGGGTATTTGTTTTTGCTTTGATGTCTGTCTGTATGTGTTTGCAAATGTGTCTGTAGCTTGTATTATGTCACGTCACCATGCCTGTAGAGATTACTTTTTCCCTGCAGCTCGAATAGACCTTGGATCCAAGCTCACTCTGTTTGTCTGTCTCTTTGTTTGTATATATTTCAGTCGAGGTCTCGTCTTCATATATTTGCATACACATCTAATTTTTCTTTGTGGTGATTTTGTTCACCTAAACCTGAGATTTTTCTTGTCAGCCGGGCCATGTGAATAAAGGAAGGCTTATAGACAGGATTGAAATAAATGCTCAGTTTTAGTTTTCAAACCATTGTTGGGCAAATACTGTTTAATATAATACTGAATTTTCAGCAGCTATTCCTCCAGTCTTCAGGGTCACGTAATCCTTCATTATAGATTTTTTTTCAGGACTCTTTTATGAATAGAAAGTTCAAAAGAACGGCATTTATTTAAAATCAGAACAATTTGTAACATTATATATGTTTTATTCTTACTTTTGATCAATTTAACCCATCAATCATTGCTGAATAAATGTTCACTTTTTTCCAAAAAAAAAACATACTCAACCCATACATTTGAATGATAGTATACATTTTCTTGCAATCTTGGTAACATTAAATCATTAAATAATGTAAGCAAACAAAATAAAGGTGCCTTATTTTATTTATTTTTAATTATGTAAATTTGATACAAAGCAGAGGGGACTCAATGGTAATTGGTAAATAATCAGTCACCATGTTACTTGAAGTACTCCTGATATTATTTCCCTTTGCAGCCGGCAGCAGATCCAGTTCTCCAGGGAAGCTCTTGGGACACGCGTATGGCAGAATTCCTAGAGTCACTGCCCCAACAACTCCCTCAGACAAGTACTCAAGAGTCCCAAGAAGCCAGGGATGCAGCCGTGAAACCAGCCCCAGCAGATTGGGCATAGGTAGGGGCAACACATTTTTACATGTCAGAGTTTAACACTAAGGATGGCCACATACAGTAAACACTTCATCGGCATACATAAAACAGCTTAATTACAAAACTCAAGTGGGCCTAAACCAGTTCCTTGAGGAATTCCTTAAGAATATGCATTACAACATGGAGATTATTTGCTACATTTCGTTGGAAAAGGTAGGACCTCGTGGTAAGTATGGATGGCAGGAATTTTCAGCGCTTACTTGCCAAAGAAAGAAGACTTTCTTAAATTTAATTTGCTGAATCATTGTTCGCTGCAAATCCTATTAAATTGGACTAGTGCAGATAGACATATTGTCTTTTCACTGTGTGAAAGAAGCTCAGCATTCATTTAAATGGCTGATGCAAGTGTTTATTCCAAAACAGGCTCAGTGGTTACTCGTTGCTGTCTTTTGTAGGCCTATGTGATTTATTTACCTGTTGCTGAATGATGACAGCGCTGACTAACGGCTTTCATTCTTCATCAGATTTTTTGGCTTTCTTTTGATGTCATTGTGTTTGTCAGATTTTTCTGAGAAATGTTTGTGTATGTCCCATCTTTTTAAAGATCTGACCAATAAATCTCCAGCCAATTATTTAACAGTTATTAAATTGACAGGAAATTATCTGTAAAACAATAAGCACAAAAGCATTTGTATATACAAAACTGAGGATATTTAATTTTTGTAACGCCCACATGTTTATTAATGCTTCAAAGCTTAATGCAGTCTTTTGTATGTTTTTACACCTAAAAGTTAATAGTGCTTCATTTTTTATATTTTATTTATACTGTACATGTTGAAATGAAGATTCCAGACTTTTTTATGGCCTAAAAAAAGATTATTGAAGTGGCGTTCACACTGACAATGATTAGCAGTGACAAAGTGGCCAGAATTAATTTGTTTTCAATGATTTGAGGCGACATGAGTGGCAGTGACTGTTATCAATATATTTAGTCACATGACAACGTAAAATGTAACTTTATGCAAAAGACCAGTGATGTGATACAACAACTACCAATCGGAATGAAGACGTCGCAGCACACCTGTCACCTGTCAGAAACTGCATGCAGGAATATAATTTTTCAAAAGTGATGCATGGAAACCTGTGTCAGAAATTGTCAGTGTTGATTCATGAGAGCTTAATTCATGCATTGATAATCATTTTTCTTGTACATGACATGATGCATTATGGACTGCTACAATTTATCTACAATTTAACTCCAAATTTAAATTTATAGCAGCAAGAAAACTGATTTATTGTCAAAGTAGAATGACATCTTATTTTTACTGATAAGAGTACTTATTTTTCCAAAGTTAAGGGTTGGTAAGATTTTTTTAATGTTTTTGAAAGTATCTCATGCTCACCAAGGCTGCAAATAATTGATCAAAAATGCAGTAATATTGTGAAATATTATTACAATTGAAAATAACTTTTTTTCTAAATATATTCCTGTATTAGCAAAGCTGAATATTCCGCAGCCATTACTTCAGTCTTCAGTGTCACGTGTAATCATTTTAATATAATTTATAGGTGTCAGTATAAAGTGTAAGGCTTTGGTCGTTTGGTCGTGTTTGAGAAAACAAATAAATCTAGAGATACACTAAATTACTTGGTGCACCTTTAACACTGCATGTTCAGAAACTCCCTAAATGTTGTCAGTCTAAAATGTTCAGCTTAAGCCTTGTGCTTTAAATGTTTAACCTTTCTAAAGCAGAAGGACACCACGAATGGCCAACCCAACCCCACCCTCCCCCCTCTTTCTCTGACTCCACGGCCTCACTAATGCCCTAAATTGTGTTCTAACAGCCAGGCTGTGTGGTAAAGCTCTTCTTCCTGCCACTTCTTCCTATCGCACGCTAGCCCGGAGCAGTCGCATCCCCCGCCCCAGCATGAGTCAGGGGTGCAGCCGTGACACCAGTCGCGAGAGCAGCCGTGACACAAGCCCCACTCGGGGCTTCACTCCTCTTGGTGAGTAGAGCACAAAAGTGGCTGATGGAGTCAAAACAACAAAAACATCCAATCCTTTCCAATTCGCTATCACAAAACTTCTCCCTCTGATTCTGTTTGGCCTCAATTTATGGCCATTATTCCTAGTATGTGGCATATGAACTGTTGTTTGCTTGCCTCTATGCATGCGCACTAATATGTTCTTGAGGTGCTTTAATAATCTGTACCGCTGTGTCTTTGAGGTTGTAAATACATCTAGTAAAGGTTTGGATGGTTTGTCCATAAAAATGGATTTATATAGCATTTCGTATTAAATTGTGAGTAAAAACAGCTGGTCTGATCTTTAAAATCTTTACAGGGAGGAACAATCACAGCAAAGTATTGCAATCAGTGTTATTATTGTTATCTTCAAATATTAAAAGTATTTAGTGTTAATTGAAATAAATGTGAAATGTAAAATAAAATCAATAAAAGTAAATATTAGATGTGGCCTCACAACTAACTGAAATAAAATAGGTTTAAACTGAATTACTGAAATTACTAAAACAAAAATGGAAATAAAAATAAATGAAAGCTAAATAGAAATATAAAATTAAAATAAAACCTGAACAAAAATTCAAATTAAAAGTTGAAAATATAAAATAAAAGCAAATTTTAATATTAATAAATACTAATAATGCTAAAATAACACTGATTGTAATGCATATTGCATTGTGTATTCATTGCTAATCTGCTACCAGCATATGTGAATGTGGTCTATGTTATAGCAGGGAGATGGATAAGTCTATGGTCTGTTTCTCAAAACATTCAACATGCGAAACATAACTAGTCACTACACGAGTGTTTCACATGACTCGTGTAGTGACTAGTTATGTTTCGCACGTTGAATGTTTTGTGTTATTGCCACGGATGGTGATCAGCGTTTTAGTGTAGCACTAACCGTCCCTGGGGTGTCACCCCTCTTCCTGTCCCCTTGCAGCCTCCCGACGTCACTCTCGCTCCACCAGCGCGCTGTCCACGGCCGAACCCGTGGGCCAGTCAGGTGACCTGCATGACCCCTCCCCCTGGCCCCCCCCAGACAGGGCCAATCACAAGCATGCATTCATATTTTATCCTATTTTATTTTATTTTTTTAACTCGACTGGGTTTGCCAGATCAAGCTACAATCTTCACACTTCACATCATTGTTAGATGTAGATGCGAATTACAGTATATGTTCATTTGTGAAATTATATTTCCAGCGTCTTTGCTCTCTTTTCTCACCATAAACATCAGCATCCATCCTATTTGAGGTTGATTTATTTGCATTTGCATTTGCGTTTCCGTTCGGTTGGTGGTGTGTTTGCCAAAAATCACTTCCGTTATCTGCGTTCAGTTATATTAAGTTTTGTATTCTTGCCATATCCAGTTAATTAAAAGAAAAGAAAAAACTTTGTCTTGCTGGTAATGAATTTAAAAAGATTATTTTTATTTGGCTTTTTGTGCTGTGAGCATAGAAGTTCATTTAATTTTTTGGAATGTTTGAATTTAATCATTGTTTTGTGGGACCCATAATTCACATACATTTGGCACTTGATTTTCCAAGAAACTACTTTATTAAAGCAGTATGGTTCATTTATTTCTTTATTTACTTTATTTATTACATCATCTTTGTAGCTTTAAAGGTGAAATGTGTAATTTCTGGGCCACTAGTGCCACTAAACAGAATTTCAGTCTGCCGAATTGGGCAAACATTATAACATTGGCTCAACTAATAGCATCAGTTTGGGAGAGGCCTATCGGATTGGTAAACTAATGGTGGATGGGTGTTTGAAATTCTGATATTACACACTTTCACCTTCTTTGAGTTTTTAAGCAACCATAGTTATTTTTCTGTCCTTTCTGAACTTATGTGTTGGGTTGTATCAGACTGTCTTGATTCTCTCAATCTCTACTTCAACCTCAAGTTTTTTTTGTCTCTCTTGCCAAATTGTTTGCCTAATTGGTTGAAAAAATGTTTATGACGTGACTTTGAAGTTATGTCGTAGAAGGTAGGTATTTAGTAATTCACCATTCTCACTTTCTCATCCTATGTTCAAACCCTACAGATCGCTTTGGCCTGATCCATCAGGCTCGCATTTCTGCATCTGTCAATGCTATGAGGGTGCTGAACACTGGCACAGAAGTGGAGGCTGCTGTGGCTGATGCTTTGGTAAGAATTCGTGTCTCCTCTCACAGATATGAATAGGATGAATTGAAATATTCCTCATTCTCAATATCTGATCTAGGACAACAGAAGTGATTCTTCTGTATGGCTCAACTATTTGTCATATGTGGCCCTGAAAACACCCACAGAAAAATTATATTTTAGGAAATGAGAAGTATTCATCTTTGTGTTGGAAAAAACTTTTTTTGTCCTTAGATGTTAACTGCCTAGCTATATAATGAGGGTGCAGTTTTCAGATTTTGTGTCTTTTCTGCAACAACTTTGCTCCCTTTGAAATTTCTGCGTCTCTGCTCTTCCTTTCTTGGTTGTCTTCAGCTGTTAGGAGACTCCAGGAATAAGGTAGTGCTTCTGTTTATATACTGCTTGTATTTCCATTTTTATTCACTAATCAGAATGACCATTGAGGACTGTCAAGAAAATATTGAGCATTTTGTGCACCACAAACATTTGCACTTCTTTAATTAATTTGGTCAATGACCATCTCCTCTGCACAGTCCCATCATTTCCTGCACAAGCACCACAAGATGCATTTCATTCATTTTGCTATCAATTTGGCACTAATCTCTTCATTTTATTATGTTTATGTCATCCAGTGTTATTGCTTTGGAAAATGTAAATCATCATTAATTCACATGTGACAACACAGCAGGATTAAGTTGTAAACAGGGCAGATGTTATACATCAGCATGACACATTCCCTTTGCTGCATAAGTAGATGTAATTACCCAGCGTGCCACGCTCTTCACTTATGTCATCTGCACACACTGTACTAATGACAGGGACTCAAGTGTTTGTTAATGCATTGCCAACTGCTTGAAATTGTCTGTGACCGATTTTAATTATTCATGACTGCCGCAGCAAATATCTGAATTGTTCCTTCACACTCCAGTGCTGAGACAGGTGAAGAGCTCAAAGGTCACATACACACTGGAGCAAAAGTTGCTTAATTCCATTTACAGAGTTCAATTATTTATGGGAATGATAACTGAATTCTACAACCAGATTCACTGCCGAAAAATCCAGGAAGTGCAACCAAATCATTAAAGTGTGTTCGAAAATTAAAATGAACAACTAGTTGTTCATATTTTGACATATTAACAAATTGTAACTCTCTTATATCTCTCTCCACCGTTGTCAATGGTAGTTTACTAAAAAGGTGCTTTAATACATCTTTGATCACTAAATTGTTTTGTCAAAAGTTGGGGTTGGTAAGACTTTGTTTTTTAAAGAAGTCTCTTATGTTCACCAAGGCTGCATTTATTTGATCATTAATGCATTAATATAAGATTAGTGGTGTGAAATATTATTTCAAATAAAAATAATTGTGTAGGTAACAGAACAGCAGCAATCAGATTACACTGTTGCATCCATGTTGGCTTCAATGTGCCAAACTATTGTTAAGATCATCACAAGTTAGGAGTGACCCTTGCATTATTCTGTATGCACAGAAATCAATATTTTAGAGGATTCATTCCCACTTTTATACGTGGTTGTCACTCTTAAAACTTTGCAGTGTGTACTTGGCCGAAAGTACCCAAAGTTAGTGTTAAACAAACCTAAACTCTTGTTATTTTTTAATGCTGCATGGCTTTTCCATATCAACTGCGTACTTACTATATGTTTAAGTAATGCACGGTAAATTGTTGAATGAATTCCCTTTGTTGGTCTTCTGATCGCTTTTTCAACTTCCCTTGAACCTCCTAATCTGCTCCATGCTCTCCTCAGTGCAAGCCTTTGAGAAGGAGGTACGAGTCTGATGATGATGCCAACAGCGACGCATCCAGCGCCTGCTCAGAGCGTTCCTATAGTTCCCGTAACGGAGGCATTCCTCACTACCTGCGTCAGACAGAGGACGTCGCTGAGGTGCTAAACCACTGCGCCAGTTCCAACTGGTCAGAGAGGAAGGAGGGCCTGCTGGGTTTGCAGAACCTGCTGAAGAGCCAGCGCATTCTCAGGTGGGGGCCTTCATTGCGACACAAATTGTCTTTTGGTTGTTGGGTGTAATTTTATTGTTCTCCAAGTCAGCAAGTAGAAAGTAGTCAGTCGATATCTGGCAAGTTTTCTTTTGTTGCTCATTTAGTGTGTTAGATGCATATGCAAAGTCCCAGTTGGCTTGCAATTGCTTTTTAAGCTTCTTCTGTCTCATTCTTATTGCGACCAGGCCTTTAATCATATTTGTGTGCGTTTCAGCCGTGTTTTAAGCAACCATAGTTATTTTTCTGTCCTTTCTGAACTTATGTGTTGGGTTGTATCAGACTGTCTTGATTCTCTCAATCTCTACTTCAACCTCAAGTTTTTTTTGTCTCTCTTGCCAAATTGTTTGCCTAATTGGTTGAAAAAATGTTTATGACGTGACTTTGAAGTTATGTCGTAGAAGGTAGGTATTTAGTAATTCACCATTCTCACTTTCTCATCCTATGTTCAAACCCTACAGATCGCTTTGGCCTGATCCATCAGGCTCGCATTTCTGCATCTGTCAATGCTATGAGGGTGCTGAACACTGGCACAGAAGTGGAGGCTGCTGTGGCTGATGCTTTGGTAAGAATTCGTGTCTCCTCTCACAGATATGAATAGGATGAATTGAAATATTCCTCATTCTCAATATCTGATCTAGGACAACAGAAGTGATTCTTCTGTATGGCTCAACTATTTGTCATATGTGGCCCTGAAAACACCCACAGAAAAATTATATTTTAGGAAATGAGAAGTATTCATCTTTGTGTTGGAAAAAACTTTTTTTGTCCTTAGATGTTAACTGCCTAGCTATATAATGAGGGTGCAGTTTTCAGATTTTGTGTCTTTTCTGCAACAACTTTGCTCCCTTTGAAATTTCTGCGTCTCTGCTCTTCCTTTCTTGGTTGTCTTCAGCTGTTAGGAGACTCCAGGAATAAGGTAGTGCTTCTGTTTATATACTGCTTGTATTTCCATTTTTATTCACTAATCAGAATGACCATTGAGGACTGTCAAGAAAATATTGAGCATTTTGTGCACCACAAACATTTGCACTTCTTTAATTAATTTGGTCAATGACCATCTCCTCTGCACAGTCCCATCATTTCCTGCACAAGCACCACAAGATGCATTTCATTCATTTTGCTATCAATTTGGCACTAATCTCTTCATTTTATTATGTTTATGTCATCCAGTGTTATTGCTTTGGAAAATGTAAATCATCATTAATTCACATGTGACAACACAGCAGGATTAAGTTGTAAACAGGGCAGATGTTATACATCAGCATGACACATTCCCTTTGCTGCATAAGTAGATGTAATTACCCAGCGTGCCACGCTCTTCACTTATGTCATCTGCACACACTGTACTAATGACAGGGACTCAAGTGTTTGTTAATGCATTGCCAACTGCTTGAAATTGTCTGTGACCGATTTTAATTATTCATGACTGCCGCAGCAAATATCTGAATTGTTCCTTCACACTCCAGTGCTGAGACAGGTGAAGAGCTCAAAGGTCACATACACACTGGAGCAAAAGTTGCTTAATTCCATTTACAGAGTTCAATTATTTATGGGAATGATAACTGAATTCTACAACCAGATTCACTGCCGAAAAATCCAGGAAGTGCAACCAAATCATTAAAGTGTGTTCGAAAATTAAAATGAACAACTAGTTGTTCATATTTTGACATATTAACAAATTGTAACTCTCTTATATCTCTCTCCACCGTTGTCAATGGTAGTTTACTAAAAAGGTGCTTTAATACATCTTTGATCACTAAATTGTTTTGTCAAAAGTTGGGGTTGGTAAGACTTTGTTTTTTAAAGAAGTCTCTTATGTTCACCAAGGCTGCATTTATTTGATCATTAATGCATTAATATAAGATTAGTGGTGTGAAATATTATTTCAAATAAAAATAATTGTGTAGGTAACAGAACAGCAGCAATCAGATTACACTGTTGCATCCATGTTGGCTTCAATGTGCCAAACTATTGTTAAGATCATCACAAGTTAGGAGTGACCCTTGCATTATTCTGTATGCACAGAAATCAATATTTTAGAGGATTCATTCCCACTTTTATACGTGGTTGTCACTCTTAAAACTTTGCAGTGTGTACTTGGCCGAAAGTACCCAAAGTTAGTGTTAAACAAACCTAAACTCTTGTTATTTTTTAATGCTGCATGGCTTTTCCATATCAACTGCGTACTTACTATATGTTTAAGTAATGCACGGTAAATTGTTGAATGAATTCCCTTTGTTGGTCTTCTGATCGCTTTTTCAACTTCCCTTGAACCTCCTAATCTGCTCCATGCTCTCCTCAGTGCAAGCCTTTGAGAAGGAGGTACGAGTCTGATGATGATGCCAACAGCGACGCATCCAGCGCCTGCTCAGAGCGTTCCTATAGTTCCCGTAACGGAGGCATTCCTCACTACCTGCGTCAGACAGAGGACGTCGCTGAGGTGCTAAACCACTGCGCCAGTTCCAACTGGTCAGAGAGGAAGGAGGGCCTGCTGGGTTTGCAGAACCTGCTGAAGAGCCAGCGCATTCTCAGGTGGGGGCCTTCATTGCGACACAAATTGTCTTTTGGTTGTTGGGTGTAATTTTATTGTTCTCCAAGTCAGCAAGTAGAAAGTAGTCAGTCGATATCTGGCAAGTTTTCTTTTGTTGCTCATTTAGTGTGTTAGATGCATATGCAAAGTCCCAGTTGGCTTGCAATTGCTTTTTAAGCTTCTTCTGTCTCATTCTTATTGCGACCAGGCCTTTAATCATATTTGTGTGCGTTTCAGCCGTGTGGAGCTCAAGAGGCTATGTGAGATCTTCACCAGGATGTTTGCAGATCCTCACAGCAAGGTAACCTGTGTGAGGAATGCATCCTTTCCACATGGCTGCTTTGATCACACTTAATCTACCTACGATGGCTGCATTGGTAGCATTCCAAATAGAGGATTGAAGGATTACTTTAAAATGTGTTGCATCATGTGAAATTATCCTAAATTAATCATATTATAATAGACTAAATAAGTAGCTTTCATCAGTATGGATCCTGTTAAATTCAACATGTTTGTCTGGCAAACAGTGTGCTTGTGTTGAACTCGAAAATGGAATGAGATTTCACTAATGGAATGTGTTTTTCCTGTTGTTTGCATGGTCTGCCTTGGTGTGGATTTTAACAATAGAGAGTAAGTGGATATTACAAATTTTGTTATATAAATGGATGAATTATGTTTTATTCTTACATAAACGGGTTTATTCTTCATATACATCACATCAACCGTGTAATTATTTGTGTAATTATTCCTCATACTTGGGGTTAACTGTTTGTTTTTAAAACCCTAACCCTAAATATTAAACAGAATCATGAAACTCATGCCACACGCCCCTGAATGATATATCAAACTATGCTGTCTGTTAAGGAGAGATGTGCTATTATTTTATTATGTTATTATATATTTGTGATCAGATTTATGAACTGACTTACAGACAAGAAACTGGCAAAAATAAAAGGCACAATGAACAAAGCATTCCTTGAACTAGAAGAGAGGTTCTCAATCAGGCAGTAGCCCCTCACTGCAGAACAAAGATCCAGGGGGCGGAGTTGGATCCACATCTAGGGGGTGGAGTTGGTAGGGTTAGGGGTGGAGATGGGTGGGTTTACGGATCGGGATGGAGACGGGTAGGTTTAGGTATATGTAAGGTACATCTCCAGGTCCGGGGCCCTCTAGTGGCCTACTCAAATTTTCAATGATACGTCAAGACGACTTTACATTCATTTAAAATAAGGCAAAACAAACTCTTAAAATAACTACAAATCCAGATATTTCTTATTTTATTTCCCTGTCAATAACTGCATTATTTTTCATGAAGCTATTAAAAGTTTCAGAATCCTTAAATCTAATTATTTAAATTTTATTTAGAATTGATTTAGTTTTTTTATCGGTTTTTTTTATTGTTAAATTTTTTTATCAGAGAATGTAGAAATATAATTTTCTAATGTATTTGTGAGACAGGCATATTAATCCATTAGTACATTTCTAAAAAGACTTGCAGCACAGCATTGGCATGATGTTTGATGTTCTGATTCCAGGTGTTCAGCATGTTCTTAGAGACTTTAGTGGATTTCATCACCGTGCACAGAGAGGATCTCCAGGACTGGCTTTTTGTACTGCTCACTCAGCTGCTGAAGAAAATGGGAGCTGACCTCTTGGGCTCAGTCCAAGCTAAGGTCCAAAAGGCTCTGGACGTCACAAGGTCGGTCTTAAGTGATAGTCCTAGTTTTGTTCTTTTTGAAGCTTAGAACTTTTTGTGCCACCAGGTTGATGTCTTGTTTCTCTTTTTTCCCCTTCTCTTAGGGAGTCTTTCCCCTTTGACCAGCAGTTTAACATTCTAATGAGATTCATTGTTGATCAGACTCAAACCCCCAATCTGAAGGTAAGATGATGCCTACCATGACTGCTTTCGAAGCCCCAGCTGCAAATTCAGTGTGCAGAGTATGTTAATTCTTATTATATTGGTGTCGTAATGCAGGTGAAGGTGGCCATCCTGAAATACATTGAGTCCCTGGCACGGCAGATGGACCCTGCAGACTTTGTGAACTCAAGTGAGACAAGATTAGCCGTGTCTCGCATTATCACCTGGACCACAGAACCCAAGAGCTCTGATGTTAGAAAAGTGAGTTTCCTTGGAGTTTGTGCTTGCAGGCAGTGCACAAATTGTGACATTGAGTTGTTTATTTAAAAAGATTTTTCTAGGTTGATTTTGACAGATTTCTTTGTGTGAATTCTGTCATCATTTACTATTAGGCACTTTCATCTCATTCCAAATTGCTACCTAAATTTAACCCTGCGAAGCCTAACATAAGAAATACAGTAATAGTCTGATTCTTTTTTTAATTGAACAGTTTATTAAACCTTTAGACAAATCCCAATAATAATAATAATAATATGTTTTTGTTGTATCATATTTGATGCATCAGGCTTTTTAATTGCTCAAATGATATGATATAGAAAAAATTTAGTTTATGCTTGAAGAGGAAAAAAAGCAAGTTGCTTTATTTCAGTAGGTGTTTATCATGAAATATTACTAACAATATAATGTATTGCTATACTTTATATATTTACTTGATCATGTTTACTACAATTCAGTAAAGATTTCACATAAAAATGACAAACAACCTGAAGAGGGATGTTTTTAAAATTTAAAGGCCTTCCTGTTGAAAAGTATGAACTACCAATGACAAAAGACATGTAGCAGATTGTGTACAACTGGTTTTTCATCAAAGTTTTGAACATGTTGATAATTTAGAGAAAACTTGTGTATCAAATATGATTCATGAGGCTTTATAGAGTTAAGTTATTGCTTGTAAAACTTGATGCATTGGGTTCAACTTCAATAACATTAAATTTAATTGGTTCTCATGTCTTTTGTCTGGTGCCATATTTGATTAAAAAAAATTATCCATTTGTGTTTGATTTAAGAGAGAGATAATGCAGGTTTGGACATGAGGGTGAGTAAATGATGACAGAAAACTATCCCTTTGTGAATCATCTTCAGACATGCTTAGTTATTGTAAATGTAGTGTAGTTTTTTTTATCTCAGTTACTGGGTTGTTAGTTTTAAAATGTAGGTTGAACATCAGTTAGTCACAATGAACAGATGCAGGACATTTCTTCCCAATATCAGTTGCTTTCTAAAGGCAACCTCTGGTCATCAGTTTCTGTTTTATTGTCTGTTACCCACCTGCCCTGACATGATGGCCCAGACTCTTCATAACTGGGCATGTGAGGAGTTGTCAGGCAGGCCCAGCACTACAGCTCTACTTCCTGGAGAGGGTCACCTGGAAGAGAGGTGCAAGCAGGTAGTGCCAATCCAACGGCCTAACCAACAACCAGCACGTAACCGCTGCACCTAACCGTGTGCCCTCTCCTCACTCTAATCTGTCTCGTTGCCTTGCGAAGTGACTGCTGAATACAATCTCTTAACATGCAATTCTCCAGCAGTCTAAAGAGAGCAGCAATCTTTTTTAAATACTAAATTAATAATTGAGTGTGTTTTAAAGTTTCCTTTCGTATCTTAATTGCTGTAATGCTCCACTGCTTAAGATATTTTAGTTTCTTTTCACAGAATAACAGAGTGAATACATTTTTCTTGCATGCGTTTAACATTAAACCGAATTGAATTGAGATGACATTTGAGATCTCTTTGTAAACTGAGTGAAATATGAGTCGCATTAACCAGGGTTGGGAATCTCGCCTGTGTTAAACTACTGTTGTCATTACGATAAAAGGGATATTTTGTTTGTCTTCTTTTTGTTTATTTATCCAAGCAGAATTAACCATCAAGAATTATATAATGCAATTTTATACAATTTTAAATGAAAGTTTATTCACGGTTTGTTGATCTGTTGAAATCTGAAATAATCACACCTGACAACATGCTACTGAAAGCAGTAAACGCAATAAGAATTGCTGTTTTCTTTCTTCCTGACTAAAGAAGTTTTAATGTAATCGCTAAAAAACTAGGAGATTAAGAAAAACTGGAACAAGAATCGTCTCTTATGATTCCCATCCCTGATGTTGAAGGCACCTACACACTAGAGAAAGCTCTGATGGAGCTTTTGACAAATAGGAATTTGTTTGTGAAATCAAGCTGGACCTGCTCTCATAAATGACAGTATAAACTCTAGTGTGTAGGTCCAGTTGTTGATAGTAGCACTGCAGTCACAGTTCTTTATACAGTCTCTCTTTCTGACCTCAGTTTCACCGCCGGCATTTCTCGGCATGTATAAGTGCGCTCCGGTTCATTGCGGTGTTAGTAGTTGTACTGTGTCTCATGAGGTATATGCTGTGTTGTGCAGGCCGCCCAGGTGGTGCTGATCTCACTCTTTGAGCTGAACACTCCTGAGTTCACCATGCTGCTGGGCGCTCTGCCTAAAACCTTCCAGGATGGAGCCACCAAGCTCCTGCATAACCATCTGAAGAACTCGAGCAACACCAGCAGAGTGGTAAGATCTTTTGTTACATCTCTTATGAGATTGTATTTTAAAAGATTGAATATATATACTACCATTCAAGAGATTTTTATGTTTTTGAAATAAGTCGTTTGTTCGCCAAGGCTGCATTTCTTTGACCAGAAATGCTGTAAAAAAAAAAATTATATTGTGAAATATTTTTTCAATTTAAATTTTTTTTTTTTTTACTGTGAAGGCAAAGCTGCCATTACTCTAGTCTTCAGTGTTACATGATCCATCAGAAATGTTGAAAACAGTTGTGCTGCTTTATATTTTTGTGAAAACTGTGGTGTAGCTTTTTTTTTAATCTTTAATGAATAGAAGTTTTAAAAGAACAGCATTGTAACAATAAGTAAATATCTTTACTGCCACTATAAAGCATATTTACAGAATTAAAGTTTTAATTTTTCAAAACAATCTTTCTGAAGACAAACTTTTGAACAGCACACGTGTTAGTTATTTTTTGTTGTAAAAACACAATACACACTACTTATATTGTGTCACAATAAGGTGAAGTTTCATTTAATTTTTGTGCCACTAGTGACAACAGAGACATTATATGGGGTAAGAGACAGACTATTAGTTGAAAAATACTCAATATGGCAACTGTTAAATGAAAGTCCCAATCGTCTTTTTGAAAGTGCTATTTCCTGTGGTTATTATTTCCTTTTTTAAACTCTAGAATATTCACTGGATGAGCCTGAAAAATATTTGTAGCTAAATTCAGCTAAAGAAACTGATACCATTTTCAGATTTTATAGTTGAGGTGAAGTAAACATTATCTTGCCAAACAGTTTTGAAAATCTACATTGAAGTAAATCATAGCGATGCAACGATACTATTTATCCGATCCAATCCAGAAAATTCTAAGTATCGACCGATTCCGATCCGATACCAGCACAGTTTTTTTTTTTTTTTTTAAATCAATGTAGAATTTCTATACTTCTGTGTTGACCTGATCGTCACTCTTTTGTGAATTAAAAATAACAAATGAAAAAATGTAACAGTTTTAAATTTCAGTTACTGTGCGCTCTTGGAGAGAGTTTCATCGTCTTTACTGTCGTAACCAAACGTGACACGCAGTTTGAATGCTGAATGGAGGATGACAGACAGCCGCAGCGGAGACAATAGTTTACATGAACTTGAATTTAACCACTTAAATATTTATCTGTACCTCACATTAAACTATGGAACGGCTTCAGAACACTTGGACTTTGACTTTATGGTGCTTTATAATGTTTTCGTGCTTTCGTGGGGCTTAACACAATATCGGATTTGGATCAGTCTCGTCTGACCGATACCCGATCTGACAGAAAATGGCAGTAGCCGATACCGATACTGAGTTTCAGATCGATGCATCCCTAGTAAATCAAGTAATTCACACTATTGTCTGAGACAGAAATTGACATGTCAGCCTGTTCAAGCAAATCATTAAGCTTACAATTTCATCTTTATCTCCTTCACAGAGTTCACCAAGCAATACAATGGGCCGCACGCCACCCCGGCACCCCACCAGCAGGACCAGTCCTCTCACCTCACCCACAAATTGTTCCCACGGGGGTCTGTCACCCAGGTAACATCCTCTTCCCATATGCTGACCACACTAATGCATGATCTCACTCTGGGCACGAAGACCTTCTACAGTAGTTCCAAGAGCCTGTTGCCCTGTTTTATGACTAACATGTACTGACTGTGTCTGACTGGGACTTGCTGTGTTGTTTTCTTCAAAATTTCCCTTTATAACCTGAAACCCTTAAAATGAATTTCTGCATTTCTGGGGTGGGAGCCAAATCACCTAGAGAGTCATCCTCTCATGAAGGGTCTAAAACTCTTTTAAAGAGGTCTGCAGAACACTATAGATGACAATTTAGGGGTTTCTGGTCCTCTTAAACTTATTAACTCGTGCTGCTAACCACAACACTCGGACTGGACCACTCTTTTTTTTCCTCTCTTTTCCTCTTCTGCCCTGTTCTCTCCCTCTCTGGCCGTTCTGTGGGCACAGTCGGTTATGGGGTTGGAGTGTCGATGGGCTCTTAAAGCACCCTTCTCCCTCTCCTCCTCCTCCTCCTCCTCCGTCTCACTCCTCTATTCCTGCTGGCCCCTCCCTCAGGGCCTTCCGCTGCGCGCTCTCACCAAGGTAACTCACCCGCTAGCCTATCACGATGAGGAGGGGCGGGATGGGTGCTTAGATTCCCACCCACTCCCAGCCTAACAGGCGCTTGTATGCACAAATATTAGCTGCCGTGGTTTGACATCATTCCCAATACGGACTTCCCCTCGTGGATGGTGGTTGATTTAAAATGTAAAACTAAGAAACAATACTATGTGGAGGAATTTTTTAATGCATGTAAAATAGGTTTTGCACAGGAATTAACTGACTCACTATGTTTGCAGCATCCATTTATTCACTCGTAGATGCATGTTGGAGTTGTCCACTAAATTTTTTGAAATATTTTGTATGCTTTAGCTTTCTTGTTTAAGTGAGTTGTTTGCAGTCCATCCAACGTCAATGTTTTTCGCTCTATTTCTCCCTTCAGTATGCTGGAGTATGACACAGAGAACATGAATTCTGATGAGATCTTTAGCTCGCTGCGCGGTGTCACAGAAGCCATCCAGAGCTTCAGTTACCGCAGCCAAGAGGACCTGAATGAGCCAATCAGACGCGATGGGAAGAAGGATGATGCTGTGAGTGCTTTAATTGTGGGAAACAGGAACAAGTGCACGGATGGGGGAAATTATTGACCCCAGTTTGTGTGTGTTTTTTTTTTATTATTATTATTAAATAAAATTGTAAATACATTATTAATAATAATAATAATAGTAAAAGAAAACACGTACATTATTGTTAATAACAATAGTAAACAAAAACGAGTAAATGAGATAACAATAAAAGTAACAAATACGTCCTGGGACGTAACAAACACAATGTGTTTTTTTTTTGCTATTATTAAATCAAATTAATAATTATAATAATATTAATAATTGCAAAAAAACACGCACATAAAGGTCATTAAATGGGGTCTTTACAAAACAAAAATAATATTGTTATTAATAATTATAATAAAGAATAACTAATAATAATTGGAAAAACCCACAAATGGGGTCATAAAATGTAATAAAATAAAATACTTAATACTTATAGTAAATACTTAAAAAATTATAATACATTATTATTATTTTGTTATTTATTAAGAATTCCAAAAATACATGTGAGCCACATGTAATTTAGATCCTTTTAGATTATTTTTTTACTCGCTTTTGCTGGTTTGTTGACTCGCATTTGATTTTTTGGACTAATTGTGCAGCCCTAATTGGCACATATTTAACACTCTTTCTCTTTCTCTCTTCCTGTCTTAGGCTGGGAAGGAAGGGGCATCTCCGGGGTCTGATGCAAGACTGGGATTGGACGTAATGGAAGGGGGTCGAACTGCTTTGGATAACAAGACGTCTTTACTTAACACACCGTCCCCGCGGTCTTTCGCTGTGCTGCGGTCAAGAGAGTTCGCACCCTATGGCTACGGAGACACAATCACGGCCTATGACAAAAGTGCTCTGAAGGAGGCTGTTTTTGATGATGACGTGGAGCAGTTCCGAGACTGTGAGTCAATACGCTGCTCAAAGCTCATAGCTTCACTTTCACAATCATCTGTGCTCCATACAGCTCCCATTGTCTGTGATTGTGTAAAGAAACACTTTAAGTTGTGGAAAAACAAAAATAGCAAGAAATTCTGAATCTTCATGATCTGAGTATACACACTAAAATTTCCCAGGAATAAGATGGCATATTGCAAAAAAAAACAATGACAATGTTATTAAATCCCTTTTTTAAATGTATTTATTACGTTTCAGCATCTTTTGACGACTAGGCCTCAAATAGAGTACTGGATCTTATGATACTCAATACAGATGTCAGACAGTAGACCCCAGGTTTTTAGTTTATGTTTCTTGAAATAAGCATAATCGAGTCATTCTTTAATCATCCCTGCACTCTCAACGTATATATTTTAAAGAGAAAAAAAGTATCTTCGTGAAAAATGATATTAAACAGATGTTTTTGTTAACTTAAGATTGCTGAAAAAGTGGCCAGACACTGTTGGTGCAGAAATGACACCTTTCAACTCTAAAGTTATTCAACAGTGTGAGCAACATGATGACCAGAGACCATAACAAAACATAAGTGATTAACCCCCTGTAAGCGTACGTGCCAGAGATGCAGGTGTAGCATGTAGGATAGTGGAGTTTGTGTGTCATCACTTCCCCTGCTGTCCCTCCCCTTCTACAGGCCGTCAGCAAGACTGTGGTGAGAACAAGATGGTGCTGCCCAAGGGCTTTACTCCTGGTAAAGACCTGCACAGTTGAACAAGACTGTTGCACTTTTCTTCATTTTCTTTCCATTCCTCCTCCTCTCTTTCAGTGCCATCCATCTCAGTGTCTCAATGTGATGTGATGTCAACCTATCTTAAATGACACTATTGCTTTGCTAACAGGGTCACTGTGATAACTGCTACAGGCCACCTTCACTAATATAAGGCAATACGGTCATATAAATGACTGTATGTTCTAATTAAATAGTACGATAGTGTTGATTCACATGTGTTTTGGTTTACAACTAACAGAGCTTCACTGTTTGCAGACACATTGTTGTAACACATTGTCATTACTTGTAAGCAAATATGATTAACCTAAGTGAACACTTTCACTTTGCAAATTGCTGGCTAATAATGACATAGAAGGGTGAAATCTTATAAAAACATGTCCAGATCACATTTCACCCCAAAATCAAATGGAAAAAATAAATTATATTTTGCATGAAGAACATAAATCTTATTTTTAGGACCAAGTTTTTTTTTTGTTTGTTTTTTTTTCCATTGTATTATTTCATTTAATTGGTAATTTTCATTATTGTATTCTAGTATTTTTTTAGTGAATTACAATAACTAATTTTTTTATTTAAATCATTATAAATTAAAGGCTAATAAAAATGTGCCACTACAAAGTCCTAAATAACAGAAATACTGAATTTGAAGTACTGCCATAATGTATAGATACTTAACATTTTAATAATTTAATAGTTTAAAGTTATTTTATTTATATTTAATATGTTATGTATTTTATTATTTATATTTAATACACTCAAACAAACGCACACAACGATGCTGTCTCTTTGCCTACAGTAAACAGCTCGCTTTGTAAACTGCATCTGCTCAAACACATGGAAGTACAGGTGATTCTGAACCAGCGGAAACATCTCTCAATGCTTCTCTTCTCCTATTAAGCCTGTGATGATAAAACATTTCAGTCCAGGTTGTTAGGATACAGAAAAAGAATGATGTATGTACATATTATGTTATACATACTTTTATTCATCAAGGATGCATTACATTGATTGAAAGAAATTCAGTATATTAGAATCATTTCTGAAGGATCATGTGACACTGAAGACTGGACTAAATTACATAATAAAATGTAATAAAATAGAAAACCGTGGAAGCCCGTTTCTGCCACTGAATAAAGAATTGTGACATTTAAAAAAAGACTTTAAAAATACTTTTTCTTACAACTGCGAGTTTATATCTCACAATTCTGACTTTATAACTCGCAATTGTAAGAAAAAGTATTTTTTAAGTCTTTTTTCCACCCTCAGCACTGGACTTTATAACGGCAATTGTGAGTTTATATCTGGAAATTCTGAGAAATGTCACAATTACCTTTTTTTAAATTATTTATTCAGTGGCAGAAAATTGCGACTTTATGTTATGTAATTCTAGAGGTGTTTCCTACATTTCCTACATTTATTTTTCACCAAAAGTACAAAGTACAAATAAAAAAGGAGACACAGATGGAAAAACAGAGCGAGTCAGTGTTTGATGGGCACTTTTCAAATTTCTGGGGTGGAGCCCTACGCTTCAGCCAATAACAGACAGGTCTGATTCGGGTGCAAAACCAATCAAAACACATATATATATATATTTATTTTTATATATTTTTTTTTTTTTTTTTTTTTTTTTTTTTTTAGTTTTTTTTAAGCAGACTATGATTTTTTCAGCTTTTGAGGTGAAATATGACCCATACATGTTCTTGACAGGTTTCATAAGATTCAGTAATATACAATATCATATAATTAAAACAGAAAAAATTTGTGCTCCAGTAGAATTAAAGTAGGACAATAGCTTGTTTATGCAGCATGTCTTCTGCTCATACTTGAATCGTTTTGAATCATACAGATCTGGTGGCAGACCTACTGAAGGAGCTGTCCAATCACAACGAGCGAGTGGAGGAGAGGAAGGGGGCTTTGATCGAGCTGTTGAAGATTGCTCGTGAGGACAGCCTGGCTGTGTGGGACGAACACTTCAAAACAATCCTATTGCTGCTATTGGAGACACTCGGGGACAAGGATGTGAGTCAGAGCGTCACATAACTTGCATCCTTAATTGACACATTCTATTTAAACCTAATGTTTTTTTAATATATCCAGTAGGCTTGCCGCGATAGACGGTGATAAGACGGTGTTAAGCCGCAACACCGGTTACGTCACTTACCCACCGTGGCACCGACCCCCACCGTCGTTTTGATTTTTTGTAGTAATAAAAATCATTTCGTTCAGTAAAAGCACAGACACTACAATTAAAAACTGAACGCGGCTGCTCAAAGTGCCAAACGACAGTCGCATCACAGATCAGATTTAATTTCTCCAGTGAGGAGAGTGAGTCGAGCTGACTGACAAGAAGAGTGAGGTGAGACAGAAAAGATTATGGCGGATGATTTAGTTTCGATATTTTGGATTATTTATATTATTTATTATATATTTGGACTTTTGCCGTTTATCTAAGGTGATTTTGGAAGTTTTTTTAAACATTCGTTTCTTATTTAATTGGTTACACGTTGTTTGCCGATTTTTACTTTATTTAAACTTTGTGTAATTTATTTATTTTATTTGACATCAAGGTGTATGCCATGCCTCCAAGCTTTCTTACTCGTTTTGCTAATAAACGTTCTACGTTTCTTATTTATTTGGTTATATACTATACATGTTTACTTAGCCTATTTCCAGTTTTGTATACCTATTTAAACTTTATGTAAGTTATTTGTTATTTTATATTAGGCATAGCCTGACCTTTAGCATGGTGTATTTTTATTTGTTTTGTTAATAAAAGTTCTATGTTTTATATATAGGCTAAAGTGAGTTTGACGTTGTATTTTGTTGTTGCATTCAAGCAACTGATGCTGAACTGCCGTTAATTCGAAAGTGAAAGTAAAATGCGCACGGCGCTTTTAAGCTATTTGAAAGCGAGGAAAAGAGGGAAAATTCAAACTAACAATTGCTTTAAGTCGAATTGCCGCTATTTGAAAGTGAAAGTAAAATGCGCATGCCACTTTTACAAGCTATTTAAAAGCGAAGGAAAGCGAGAAAAAGAGGGAACACCCCCGCCCCCACGGTGATACCGGTATTACCGGTGTTGTCACACGTCGATTAACCGGTGGGAAAATTTCCAGTTGCTTCTCTGTGTCTGTGTGTATTTGTAGTGGCTAATAGTGATAGTATGCATTCTGTCTGTTTATTCAGCACACTATCCGAGCTCTGGCTTTACGGGTTTTGAAGGAGATTCTGAGGAACCAGCCAGCACGCTTCAAGAACTATGCAGAACTCACAATCATGAAAACACTAGAAGCTCATAAGGACTCTCATAAAGAGGTTAGAATCCACCTTGTCAAACTATTATCTGTTTTAACCACTAATTGACATTTAAGCAGTACAACATCATGATGATCATACTGCAAAATCATACTACAAAAAGTTGTGAATAAAGTATCTCATGGCTACATTGGGTTGTTTGTTCCTTGTAGCAGGGGTGAAATGTTTTGGGTATTCTGTAATTTAAATTCTTTTTTTTTTATTTCACAAATATTTTTATTATATTGAAAGCTAGACTTAATAGTAATACTAATGATGTTGTGTGAAGGGAAAGAAAAAAAAATCCATAAATTGTTATACTATAATTATAAAATAATGTATTTTAATATTTTTTTGAAAGTCTTAATGTATTTATTTATTTCCCCAAAAATACACTGCTAAAAGTAATATTGTGAAATATTATTGCAATTTGAAATAATTCCTTTTCTATTTTAGTGTATTATAAAATGTAATTTATTCCTGATGGCAAAGCTAAAATTTCAGAAATTATTACTCTAGTAACATCACACAAGCCTTCAGAAATCATTTGAAAACAGTTGTGCTGCTTAATATTTTTGTGGAACCCGTGATACATTTTTTTTCGTCATTCTTTGATGAATAGAAAGTTCAAAGGAATGGCATTTATTTGAAATAAAATGTATAATAATAACATTATAAATGACTTTACTGTCACTTTTGAACAATTTAATCCTTGCTAAATAAAATTTAAATTTCTTTAAAATAAAAAATCAGGCTGGTCAGGTGACTTTTTCTTTGTAACGGTCTCATTGAGAGTAAAACGAGCTGATTGGTCTCTTTAATCCCTTTTTAAATCCAACACCTGCGCCTGCGGACACTGAGCACCTTGGTTACATCTAAAATGCAGTGACCCAAGTCAACAAACCCAACACCTAGATGAGGAAATGAATGAAGTACAGGCATGTGAAGAAAAAGGTTCTCAGGTTGTTAAACTTCACAAACTCAATCAAGTGCCTTCTTGACGTTATATATGCAGGTGGTTCGGGCGGCTGAAGAGGCTGCCTCTACGTTGGCTAGCTCCATTCACCCAGAGCAATGCATCAAAGTGCTGTGTCCCATCGTACAGACCGCAGACTATCCCATCAACCTGGCTGCTATTAAGATGCAGACCAAAGTGGTTGAGCGCATTGCCAGGGAGTCGCTGCATCAGCTGCTGCCAGACATCATCCCTGGCCTCCTACAAGTGAGTATTGCACATTGGTGTCATTTTATGATAAAAAAGTTCACCTCTCCGCTTCTGTCACTTTGGAATTACTTCCAATTTGATATCAGGGTCAGAGAGATATCAATGAATGTCTGGGCAAGTAGTTACATTCATTGCATATATACCCGAACTCGATGTACCAGAATGGAGAATGGGAATTGAAAATTTTCAGTGACTACGTTTTGTAGCCCTTTTGTTAATTTGACTTTTGTTCACCCCACTGGTCAAAATTGGGTCAGTATTAAGTATATTAGCATAGTTTGCATTGGGAACTTTGGGAGCATAGTCAACATGCAACAATTTGTACTTTAGCACTCTTGATGATGTGCACATGTGTTTATGTGTGTGTATGAAGATGTTAATGCTAAAACCGTCTGTCTGTCTGCAGGGCTATGATAACACAGAGAGTAGTGTTCGCAAGGCCAGTGTGTTCTGTCTGGTGGCCATCTACTCTGTGATTGGTGAGGAGCTGAAGCCACACTTGGCCCAGCTCACGGGTAGCAAGGTATGTTCACATGTACGCCAACTCAAAGTCCACCAAAAGGTTCACTCTGTTCAACCTGCTTATCACTCAGTCCTCTATTTATTTGTGCCCTCCTCTGGTTTTAGCTGGTCCAAGTTTTTATATTTGGTCTACTTTCATTGCACTTGGGCTTCACGGCACAGTCCATAAAAAATGGTAACACTTTTATAGAAAGGTTTCATTTGTTAACATTAGTTAACTACATTAGTCAACATGAACAGTAGGTTTAGTTCAACATTTACTAATACATTTTTAAAATCAAAAACAGTAACATTAACATTTTTATTAACCAACCAGAACAAAAGTTAATAAACACTAAAAAATATATTGATTGTTAGTTCATGTTAGTTAATGCATTAACAAATGAGACCTTATTATAAAGTGTTACCAAAAAACTAAGAGGGGGGAATTACTGAACTCTTTCAGGTCGTATTTCGCACCAAATTCAAATTTCTCATTAGAAAAAATAAATATATATATATATTTATGAATTCTATTATGAATTATGAATTCTTGCATTTGTAATATATTTGTGAAGATAGTTAAGCACAAATTCTACTTTTCTCATAACTGTAATACATTTTTTTTTGTTCTTTTATGTAAATGTACATAAACGGAGTACAATTGAAGCTACCATAGTGAGTAAACACTATAAAAATTTAAATAAATCATTAATAACTGATTTCACAGTACTGAAGAATTGAATTGAATTCTTCTTTTTTTTTAATGCTTAATTGACTTGAATTTCATAAAGTGTCCACTCATCACATTCAAAATACTGATATTGATACGGTGTTGGACTGAGTATTGTTTCTGTGAAATGGTCAATTTGTTGCATATTATTTTGAGAAATCACCTACATTGCCCTTAAGAGAAAATGTTCACATTTTTAGACACAATGCAAAAGTAAACATTAACCCTGACCTTCTAAGATAACATAACTAGAAAGTAGTGCTGTCAAACGATTAATCGCATCCAAAATAAAAGTTTTTGTTTACATAATATATGTGTTTACTGTGTATATTTATTATGTATATATAAATACATACATGCACGTATATATTTAAGAAAAATTTTATATTTGTATATTAAATACATTTATATATAATATAAATATATACAGTACATGTAAATATTTTCAAAATATATACTGTATGTGTGTATTTATATATACAAAATAAATATTCACAGTACAGTACACACATATATACACAAAAACCTTTATTTTGGATGCGATTAATCGTTTGACAGCACTACTAGAAAGTGTAAATACATGCTCTTATCTGCGAAACAAGTCAGAGGTCTGTATGAGTATTCGTGCACGTTGTATTGAAACACACCCTCTGGCTTTTATTTCCACAGATGAAGTTGTTAAATCTGTATATTAAGAGGGCCCAGACCACCAACAGCAACAGCAGCAGTTCTTCAGATGTGTCGTCTCACAGCTAGCCGGATGTACTCTAATCAGTGCCCTACACGTGCATTTGGGAACATAGTTGTGCCTCCTTCAGACATCCTTTTTTTCATTGCTTCATCACAGTCATCACATTTTCCCAGAGAGATGTGTTGCTCACTTCAATCAGACTTTTCTTTTCGTCCAACTCCTGAAAGCCTCTTAGTTAATGTCTCATGCATCTTTCCATCTATGGAACATTGAATGTAAAGGGGTTCGGATCAAGAAAAACGCATGCCGGCTTTCTGATAGGGAACAGATCTTCCATGATTGGCATAGCTTCCCTAATTGGAGCAAACAAGCTATCTTCAGCTTCTGAAGAGGTGATTTGTTAACTACATTTATTAGTAATAACTTATTCATGTTTGCAAGTGGTGTTAAAGGTTTAATCGAGTTATTTGGATATTTTAAACGGACACAGTTGGGTTAACTAATACATCACTTGAATCTCAGTTAATGCTAGTGGATCATTTGGCTGGCCGAGTGATAAATGTAAAGAAAATAAAAAAATTTAAGTAATTTGTAGGTTTGGCTACAATGACAACCAAAAAACATGTAGGATTAAAACATTCTTATATTCATTTTTATTTCATGGGACCGCAATACCACATCCCGTAATGTTGAACGTGTAGGAAATAATGTTGGTTTCCGAGTCTTTAAAAAGGCTAATGTAAAGCAATTGTGTTGATTTTATTATAGGATGGATTATGTGTTCAAAATGTAGGCCTCATTACAAAATACAAGGACAAACTTCTGAATGTCGAGCTTTTTTCATCTTTGGAAGAAAAAAGCGAAAGGTTTTGGGAGTAAACGTGCAAGCCACAACACACTTGGACATTTAAAAACGGACAAACACTCAATGGAGTCAGAAACATGACCCAGGAGCATCTTCAGACAAGAAACAATGAAGGAAACCGAATGACACTTTGTTCTTGGAGCAAGAGGATTGTGATGGAAATTTCCAAACTACTATGCCTTACGTTCCTTTTTCTGTTTTCAAAGCTCAGACTGTTAAGATATACGCATCCACAGGCATTCTTACTACATCGCTAAAGCATGGTGCTGCAAGTTTGCGCAGCACATGTCTATGACACTAATGAAAACCCTCTAATCTGGCTCAAGAACTAGAGGTGATGTTATGTTCTCTGAAAGCTCTGAACTCTTTCTTTTCCTTGTTCATCTGGAGATTTTTCCCATCTGATGTTAAGTGCTGAGCGTTTAGTGTTTTGTACATAACATACAATCATTGCTTCTCCCTCCCCCACAAAATTAAGGTCAAAATTACGTTGCACTCTTTTGCACGTTAACAAATAGCCTGCATGTTTTGACGACATAACCATCCTGTGCTGCCGCGACTGACCTAGGTTTGGCTGTTTGTGCCATGTCAGCGGTCTGGTCGGTCTGTAAATACAGTATTATTATTGTTATTATTAATATGTTGCCCATGTGGGGAAGTAAGTGCAAAGCTCAAATGGGTCTCACAGTTGACCAAAATGTCTGTTTGTCTCCGACTGTGAACCAGACCATATTAGAAATTAAGGACAGACATTTGAAAGCACCCTACTTTCCTTAAGTATTATATACTGGGGCATGTGGCTTTTATTGGTATGCTAAGTGTGCGTACCCTTGTTTGTTGCGGCATTTCTTTCTAATGGTTTTTAACCGGTTCAGACCATGAACCAACATTTTGTTTTACACTGGGGCTATTCATAAAAAGAATCTGTTAATGAAAGAACAAAGCCAACTGTGAGGATCAACAATGCAAGTATTAAGTTAAAACGTGGCCCCTTGGTTTTCCTCAAATGTTGACCTCTAATGGTATTCCATCAAACAATTCACTACGCATGTTAGACTTTTTGTCATTGGACACAGATACACTCTTGTATTTGTAAATTTGTTATTTCATTTCCTGTCCCAATGTACAGTTTTTTTTTTTCAAAGGCTTGTGATAGATTTACACCAACCTAAGTTTGGCCTAGAATTAAAACAACCAGAAACATGAATTTATTGTGATGATTATTTCAAACTCTTTTTTTTGTTTTGGGGCTGTTGAATGTGCTATCAGCAATATAATTCATGCACCAGTACATTTATAAATTCATGCACCAGTACATTTATAAACGAAGTCACATGTGATGACGTGTACTCAGTCCTAGTGAGTCCAGTGAGAAAGAAATGACCAGGTTACAGGTCACCTCAAAATCAAAACATCAATTTATATATTGCATTAAGAATCTGAAGCTATTTTCAAATCATTTTAAATAATTTATTTGATATGTTATTTATTTATTTTGCATTGTAAAGTTATTTTTTATGACAACAAATTGTTCATCAAATATTTAATGTGGGGAAAAAAATAATTCTCTGTAAAGCAATAATGAGTCATTCTGTCTGGACATAAAAAAAAAAAATCTAAATCATCATGATCAACGACTATCAAATATTGCACAAAAATACTGTCATTGTATATTTTTAGTACAATGGTTTAAAAAGTAGGTTTTTATTTAAGCAAAATAGATTTGGACTTGTTTATATGTATATAACTTTTATTTTAAGTTTCGGTGAAATATAACCTGGACATTCTTGACAGTTTTTGTGAGATTCGTCTAAATATCAAAGTTTTTAGTATTTCCATTAGTACTGACATCAAGGCTTTTCAACAATACAGATGTGAAAATGTAGTTGGCTACAGAAGCACCTGCGTGCACTCAACATCATACTCAACACCATCTCAAACATCATATTGCATAATCTAGTTAATAAAGCAACTCAGTCTTGACCTTTGATGTACACAGTATCAGTTTTACCAGCTGCGTTTGTTATTAAACGAGTGGTCCAGAAGAGTCCGTCAGAGTGCCGGTGTTGTGCCCAATTCTGTCCCCCGCCCGATTACTATCCCCCCCGTATTGGTAGGTTTAGTATTTCCATTAGTACTGACATCAAGGCTTTTCAACAATACAGATGTGAAAATGTAGTTGGCTACAGAAGCACCTGCGTGCACTCAACATCATACTCAACACCATCTCAAACATCATATTGCATAATCTAGTTAATAAAGCAACTCAGTCTTGACCTTTGATGTACACAGTATCAGTTTTACCAGCTGCGTTTGTTATTAAACGAGTGGTCCAGAAGAGTCCGTCAGAGTGCCGGTGTTGTGCCCAATTCTGTCCCCCGCCCGATTACTATCCCCCCGTATTGGTAGGTTTAGGGCAGGGATCCTCAAATCTGGCCCACGAGATCCACTTTCCTGCAGAGTTTAGCTCTAAACCTAATCAAACACACCTGAACATGCTAATCAATGTCTTTGGGATCATTAGAAAAATCACAGGTAGGTGACTTTGATCTGAGGGCAAGATTTGAGGAACCCTGGTTTAGGGTAAGGTGTGGGGGAGGGGTTAGGATGAGGCAATCAGATAGCGATTTCAACGAGGGGGGTAATAATTTGGCAGGGAGTCGAAAATGGGCACAACACCGGTGCAGGTGACAGGATGAAGGCAGAGTGAGGGACACTCACAGGTCACATGACGGCCGTCACGCGGCCATAGAACACAGCGGACACGTTGGGTTCAGAAAAGCCTGTGCGGCCCTCACCGGCCACCACGCGTGTGACTAGTTACTCATATTTTTGGATAAGAGCGTCACCCGAACTGGAGAGTATGCTGTTTTGGCACAGCCATCCTGAAACCTATCAACAACACGCGCAAAATAATTGTATAAGGTAAGTTCAGTCACGCAAGTTATTTATTTATTTTTTTACGTATAGCCTATTTATTTAACTTTAAGATGTAAAATGTTACTTAAAACATTTTACAACTTAAAGTTAAATACAATTTTAAATAATTAAAAAAATCGTTATTTAACAAAGTTTAACAAAAATTTAACTAGGCCTATATCTTTAAAAAAATATTAGTATTCGTTACTTGAAAAGTCTTTAAGGAGGGAACTACTTCTTAAAAAAAGAAGAAGAAAACACTGTAACGTACATTAATAAAGAAAACGTATGACACCTTATGACTTAGTAAGCAGCAAGTCAATAATCAGCCAGTAAAATGAGTTTTCTGAAGAACCACATCAAGGTAAATCTCAATCATAATCTATAGGGGTGCTCCGATCAGGATTTTTGAGGCCGATCACAGAAAGCAGTATCTGCCGATACCGATCACCGATACCGATCTTTTTAAAGCCTTCTTTTTATCATTAACTATTTACAGTGATACTCCAATCAGGATTTTTCGACATTTATTCAGGGCCTGAATTTCATTTTTGAAAATGGTGGGAATTCCCCTCTTAGGTGACTCTTGTGAGAGGAGAAGCAGCTTTCACACAGGAGTCCGCTACTGATCCGTGGCTGTTTACCACAAACACAACATTTATCCATTCGTTTGATTTCAAATCCAAACATTGTCACTGAAAATGCTTTTTCAACATTGCAGTTCTTTTTTTACACAGTACAATAATGCAATCTTTCACAGACATGTTTAAACACAATAAATATAAGCAACACATTATTCAATGCTTTTTACTTTTGCATTTAGGCTACTTCTAGATTTATATATTAAGTTGCTCAAGCGTCAAAACATTTAAACTACTGTTCTTATGTTATCACAAACGCTACTTCCTTGACAGAAATAGTCAGCTCTACTGCCTTTCCTTTTGCATTGAAATCTTTATTACAAGCAATCCTGCGGTTCATAAAGAACTTTGTTTTCCTACCTCCACGAGTGCCATCTATTATTGCCTTCTTTATCTAAAAGTGCTCTTTAACTGCTTCGAATGTGCAAGTGGCAATTCCTGTGTCTACTGTGCAGCGTGCTTAACCGGAAACTAGTGGAGTATAAAGATATGAACAATAAATATGTAAAGGTAGGTTAAAGGAATTACGTGTTTTTATATTATGTAACCTTTTTCCGTTTACATCACCTTTCTATAAACTAGTAACGGTACTGCTAAATCTTCCCCTCCACATTCATAGCCAAATTTAGTTTTTATTAATTACATTAGGTTTTTTTCTGTTAAACCTAAAATAAACAATGGTTTAGGGTTTTGAAAAATGTAAAACATTGTGGTATTTATAATGATGTGAACCTTTGTAAAGATGGTCAGATGTTCTTATATTGAAGTATAAGACGCTCTTTGAAATATTCATCATCAGATGTCATGATATCATTTCAGAGCTGTATTGTTGCCTTCCATAAAACAGAAACAGTGCTTCACAAAGTTGGTTGTGATATTTGAGAACCAGTTCCATGTACCTTTTTGCGATTCCATTCCAATGCGTCTGGTCATATGGACTAATTTTATGACACTTTAATGTTTGTTTGTTTTTCCATTTTGGAGCTTGACAGCATAAATCACCATTGTTGAAAAAAGCAGCTTTGACATTCTCCCTAATATGTAATTTTGTATTTCAAGGAAGACAATACAGTATGTAAATTATGACGGTTTTCACTTTTGGTTGAATTATCGGTCTATATGTTAATGATTGCAATCTTTCAAGCTAGCGGTCTACATCAAACATCTATAACCACTGTATTTTCCATGTCTCCTGTGCGTGCCTCTTTATTTTGACTAGTCATAGTGAGATATTAAGCTCTCTCGCACAAGCAAGATGTGACTGGAATTCACATGATTGCTTGTTGGTCCAAAGCAACCCATATTGAGAGTAAGGTCAAGAGGTGGGTCTGAAACGGTCATCAAATATAGGTAAACTATTTCTTTTTCTTTCAGTGCTCCCCTTGGCCTGAAGCCCCATCTGTCAACAGAACGAGCAACACTCCATCTCCTGGTTATCACAGCTCTCACACGTTCTACAGCTTCCCAGAGGAGTAAGTCCTTGTTCAGTATGAAATCACATTTTGAACTCATAAACATGAACATAACTAGCAACTGCTTTCCTGTCTTATTACGTTTATAGATACTGCTCTCCAGACCAGCAGGGGGAGCTACTTTTGCCCAGCTGCTCTGATGTAAGTATAGCGGGCAGGTTAAAAACATTAATGCCATGCTCTCTTATCTTTATAAGTTTGTGTTTGAGGACATGGATGATGCTATTCTTCTTCTTTTTGCCATGTAGCACCTGTTGTCGTCGTCCTCCATGCAGGACACGCAGCAGTGGCCCCATCGTAATAGGCTCTTCTCTGGCTTCTCAGGTGTGCTGAAATATTCAATGAGAATTCAATTACAGCTACTTGGCTCTGTTACAAATTCTAGTGAACTGCCTACCAAGGCACCATTTTTTCAGTTTCATCAGTTTTTATTTTTTAGATTTTGTTTCATTTAAATGTAATCGTTTAGTTAACATGTTGCTAAACTAACAACTTGCTACTCAGATAAGCATAAAAAAACACACTGAACACAAATATTCGGTTAATGATTTTGGATTGTTTTTATCTATTCTTTAAAGAATTTAATGAATTAAAATTACACGCTGCCATTCGTAAGTTTGGGTTCAGTAGAGATTTAATTTTTATTAATTAATTGTGGCCAGTAATTTGTTACCTTGTTTTGATTTAATTAAAACAAGGGAATAAATTAGTTCAACACTGCCACCATTTAATTAAAATGAGGGAACAAATTAAGTAGTGGGGACTAATTCTTAGTTTGTGGCCTTGATATATAGCCCATGTCATGTGTGGGACTCAATATTAGTTTACCCAAAAACAAAATGTTCTGACACTGGTTCTTTGTAAAACACAGAGGTGGACAAAGTACACAAATCAAGTACTTGAGTAAAAGTACAGATCCGTATAATAAAATATTACACTAAAAAGTACCCATAGATGAATGTTTATTTTGCATTTTTATATAATCTACTTTATTAGATCTAGCATGTGCTAATCTCACTGCTCGGTGCGTTCGTAAAGTTTGGTCTTATATTTTAGTCAGTTGTATTTAACCTAGCAACACGACATATAGGTTTAATAAAATAGTAATGATAATGTTATTTATGTGTTTTTTAGTTTTTGTATTGAGGAACTTTAACTTTGCTTTATTTGAAATCCAAAACCTTTTTGAAACTGTTTTTTTTTTTCCTAAAATATAAACTAATTTATTAGACATTTATTATTTGGCCAAAAATAATTAAAAAAGTACCATTTAAATGTTATTGAGCGACAAAAAAGAGGGATGTTTTATTACTATTAAAATAAATGGTAAGAAGTTCAATCTTAATTTCACTGAAGCTGTTTTTATTCAATTAGCTGGTGAAGAACAAACAAATCGGTTTTGATTTTTATTATTTTTTTTACAAAATATCAGCTTATTTTTATTTTTCTCATAGACATGAATAGGTAACTATGATTTGTTTTCCTCACTGGTGACTTCCTCAGGTGCGTTTGAGGACAAGTCATTTGCATCTTTGGCGGAAGTGGTCAGTGAGAATACACTGAAGGGAGTGAAGGAAATGGGCTTTGAAACCATGACTGAGATCCAGCACAAGACCATACGACCTCTGCTGGAAGGAAGGTGAGTTTGCGGTGCATCAGACATTGCAGGATTTCAGTGGTACAGTAATCATCACTTGTTTTATTTGTTCAATCAATAATTTTATTTGTTGTGATATGTGCTCATTCTTGTCCAACAGAGACGTGTTGGCTGCAGCTAAAACAGGAAGCGGTAAAACACTAGCTTTCCTGATTCCCTCCATTGAGCTTATCTACAAACTCAAATTTATGCCCAGAAATGGTGAGTGTACATATTGTCATTCTCTGATTGTTATAGTCAGCAGAGATGTAAGTATGACCTTAGAGGTGTGACATGGCTCTGGTGTGTGTGTGTGTATCAGGGACTGCAGTGGTCATATTGTCTCCCACTCGTGAGTTGGCCATGCAGACGTATGGTGTTCTAAAGGAGCTGATGACTCATCATGTGCACACATATGGCCTCATCATGGGCGGCAGCAACCGTTCTGCTGAAGCCCAGAAACTCGCCAATGGAGTCAATATCCTGGTTGCTACACCTGGCAGACTTCTCGATCACCTGCAGGTAAGGCCTTTTACAATCAACAGCTTTGCCACACGGGTCTGTGGAGTGTACTTGACCTCTTTTTCTTTCCACAGAACACACCCGGGTTCATGTTTAAGAACCTTCAGTGTCTGATCATTGACGAGGCTGATAGGATTCTAGAGGTTGGCTTTGAGGAAGAACTGAAGCAGATCATCAAACTACTGCCTAGTAAGAACTGACGAACCTGACCGCTCTGAAGTCACTTCCTTTAACCAGGGTTCTTGCACGTCTTTAAATATTTCTCTTTCTTTCCAGAAAAAAGACAGACCATGTTATTTTCCGCAACACAGACACGTAAGGTGGAGGATCTTGCACGAATCTCCCTCAAGAAGGAGCCGTTGTATGTGGGGGTGGACGACAACAAAGACACGGCCACAGTGGAAGGACTAGAACAGGTAAACTCCTTTATCAGTACCAGTTGATCATGTGTTGATCTTCTTGAGTTTGACCTTGTGTTGTTTTTAGGGATATGTCGTATGTCCTTCGGAAAAACGTTTCCTGCTGCTCTTCACGTTTCTGAAGAAGAACCGCAAGAAGAAGCTGATGGTGTTCTTCTCGTCTTGCATGTCTGTGAAGTTCCACTATGAGCTGCTCAATTACATTGATCTGCCTGTCATGGCCATCCACGTGAGTCACAGAGCCATACGCACATAAAGCGAGATGGGAAGTGCCGTTGAAGCAGTGTGATGAATGCTTTTGTTTTCACGGTCTTTCAGGGGAAGCAGAAACAGACGAAGCGAACCACAACGTTTTTCCAGTTCTGTAACGCAGACTCTGGTATTCTCCTCTGTACGGATGTGGCTGCCAGAGGTCTCGATATCCCAGAGGTGGACTGGATTGTTCAGTACGACCCACCCGATGATCCAAAGGTACAGCAGTCACGCCCCCTAGTCCAGCCTTGCTGATTGATATATATATACGCTTGTATTTGGATTTTTATATGTGACTTTTCTGTTGATATTTAGGAGTATATTCACCGTGTGGGACGAACAGCTCGTGGTATTAATGGTAGAGGACATGCCCTCCTGATCCTAAGACCAGAGGAGCTCGGCTTTTTACGATTTCTCAAACAGGCCAAAGTATGAAGTCCCTATAGTTGTGGTTTTATATTGGCTTTCAATATGTGTCGGCTTTGTATGATCATGACAGGAGTTTAAATACTGTGTATGACTTTACACGTTAACTAAACTTACATATAAAATGATTAAATACTATATGGACATAAAAAAAACTGACAAGAAAATGTCAAAACCTTGAAATAAATTAAAGTGAAAACAAAATCTAATTCAAAATAGTAACAAAGTATAGTAGTACATCAGTGAAACTAAAATAACACTGGTAAGCTGTTAAACATGTCAAGGTGAATCTTGAAAAATGCATTTCTTATTGTCTCTCTCTTGTGTTCTTCTAAAGGTCCCTCTGAGTGAGTTTGAGTTCTCCTGGGCTAAAATCTCTGATATTCAATCTCAGGTGAGACTTCCTATTCAGTGAAGTTGAACTAAATATCTTGCTCCTTTCAAATATAACCCCTTTGAATCCTAATTGACCTGTTTAAAATCGGTATTTGCTTTGGTCTTTTGCAGTTGGGGAAGCTGATAGAGAAGAACTACTACCTTCACAAATCAGCTCAGGAGGCCTACAAATCCTACGTCAGATCTTATGACTCGCATTCCCTCAAACAAATCTATAATGTAGAGACACTCGACCTCCCGAAAGTGGCAATGTCCTTTGGGTTTAAAGTGCCACCTTTTGTGGACCTCAGTATCCTTTCAGCACTGTATTACAATGCTATTCTTGCATGTGGAACTTGTTACTTAAAGGGGTTAGTTCACCCAAAAATGAAAATTCTGTCATTAATTACACACCCTCGTGTTGTTCGAAACCCGTAAGACCTGCGTTCATCTTCAGAACACAATTTAAGATATTTGATGAAATATGAGGGCTCTCTGACCCTCCCATAGACGGCAAGGTATCTGGGTCAGCACCGGCGCTGCCACGTGCTCGTGTCATGATACTGTCGTGAACACGTGTCCACAAGTGACGCAGTAGATACGAAAATGTGGATTAAAGTCGTTATTTTTGTTTTCTTTGCGCAAAAAAGTATTCTCGTAGCTTCGTAACTATACAGTTGAACCACTGATGTCACACGGACTACTTTGTCGATCATCTTGGTACTTTTCTGGACCTCGAACGTGGTAGTTACCTTGCTGTCTATGGGAGGGTCAGAGAGCCCTCCTATTTCATCAAAAATATCTTAAATTGTGTTCTGAAGATGAACGAAGGTCTTACAGGTTTGGAACAACACGAGGGTGAGTAATTAATTACAGAATTTTTATTTTTGGATGAACTAACCCTTGAATAGTTTGAGTTTTTGATGTGTGATCATGGTTGTACATGCATTACTGTTTGGGGACGGTACTATGATCACCACAGCTGCATTTATTTGATCAAAAATACAGTAAAAATATTAGTTGAAATTAACAGGTTTTTTTATTTTAAAGTTTTAAAATGGAGTTTTCAGCATCAGTACTCCAGTCCAGTGGGGGCTCGTGGGTTTTTAAATAGAGGAGGCACACTAATTGTATTGGTCTGGGATCCCTGCCGATTATTATTATTATTATTATTTGATTAACCACTTTAAAATGGCTTTTTTTGTTGTTGCTTTTAGTCAGAAAACATAAAGAAAATGACACACATACAGCAAGATAATATAATTTCACTTACCTGGCCTATCACTTGAAGCAAACATCCATCCCTTCTTAAAAGTCTGTGTTAAAAGAGAGCTGCTTGTTGTGCTATTTAATTAAGCCGACTGCTGTAATGTTAGCCTATATCCAGCTTAGGCTGTTTTCCCTAAATTTGTATATATACTGTTTGAATGACAGCTTGGTAAATCTGTTGGCGATCAAATATTCAATATCACTACTCATCATAAATACTTGGTACATTATCAGCGCAGCGGCAGGCGTTCAAACTAATATCACGTAATTTACGTCTCTATGATGATTGGTTGATATCAGAAGGGAGGCTAGCCTCCCTTACAAGGTTTCTTTTCTCAACACTCCTCAGCGCTGAAAGTGAACACTCGATGGTGATTGGCAAATTTTTTTTTTTTTTACCAACGGAGGCACGAGAGCTCAGCTCTCCCCCGGCCTCCCCCTCCCCTTCTCTATCATTAGCGGTTGCAATTACATCAGCAGATTCGGCACATTCGCGATAGAAAACCAGCGCTTTCACGTTATGGTATTACAACTGTGAAATTACAAACAAAAAATACACATTCTGAGAAATGAATTGTGAATTTTATTAACATTAAATCGTCCTCCTCCCATTTTCACCTCAAAATTACGAGCCGCCACTGCTCCAGTCTTCAGTGTCACATGATCCTTTAGAAATCATTCTAATATGCTGATTTGGTGCTTAAGAAACATTTTTTTATAATCCGTGATGAAAAGATGTGCTGCTTAATATATATATTTTTGGAAACTTGAATGGTACTGTAGATCTATTAGCAGTACATGGCCTATATATATTTATAGTATTCTTAAGGTCATAGTTTCGGGTGGTGTTTGTTCCTTAACCATTCGCTTTCTCAGATGTTCACAGCAGTAAAGGGGTGAAGATGCAGAAGCGAGGTGGCGGCGGAGGCTTTGGCTACCAGAAATCTAAGAACGTCCACAAGGCCAAGATCTTCAAACACGTCAACAAAAGGAAAGGAGATGGTAGACAGTTCTCACGCTGAGAATAAGATCAATCTTCTTTGTGATGCACCTCTATATGGAGTAACTGTCAGACTACACAATTGTCATTTTGTTAATTTGTTCTCAGTCGTTTGAGAAGAGCTCTGATCAGTCTGCATTCCATGCCTGTACAGAAATCTGTTTTCAGAAGCCGTTATGTAATGCTGAATTTTGATTGTTACTGGCCCAACTCATTAAATATAGAAACTTATATTGTGAATAATTCTTCATGCTGTCTCCTCTCTCCACATGAGATTGAACCTACAAGCTTAGTGGCAACCAGGGTTTGATAGATCAGCCTTTGGATTTTCATTTATGTATTTTTCAAATGGCTCATACAGAAAACATTTTCCGTGCTGTTTCACAGAATAGAAAATTCTGAGATTTAATAATTTATTTATGCAACCATGTAACAAACAAATGCATGCTTTTTTTTTTAAAACACTTTAAAACCTGTAAAATGGCACAAATATTTTGTGTGTGTGATATTAACAACCAATGAACTATATTAGCATTTTATAAATTTTTGGGTTATATCCTTATAAAAAATATTGTTTGATAGATCAGCCTTTGGATTTTCATTTATGTATTTTTCAAATGGCTCATACAGAAAACATTTTCCGTGCTGTTTCACAGAATAGAAAATTCTGAGATTTAATAATTTATTTATGCAACCATGTAACAAACAAATGCATGCTTTTTTTTTAAAACACTTTAAAACCTGTAAAATGGCACAAATATTTTGTGTGTGTGATATTAACAACCAATGAACTATATTAGCATTTTATAAATTTTTGGGTTATATCCTTATAAAAAATATTGTTTTTTAAGAAAACATAACGGTCAAATAAAAAGCAGCACATTGATATTATAATAGTCATAAGAGGTTGATTCATTTTACATTCAGTATTTTGTTAAATATGTTGTAAATATCCTATATATTGTATGGTCTTAGAAGCCATAAGGCTGGCATCTTTAAAATGTACACAAGAATTGCACATTTCAGTTGTAATGTTATTTACAGGTCAAGGCAATCTGAACTGAAGAGTCAGTAAGATGCCAGGTTGTTTTTACCATTAGTGTATCATAAGTGACTCCTCGCTAGTCTGAAACCACTATAGTAAATAAATGTCAAATCAGCAGTTCATTTCTCCTTTAATGTGTTAGTCTTATGGCAGCAGGTTTTTATGATCATGATACAAAAACAAAGGAGATTAGTAAGGGAATTTGTGTTCTATACATGATGGGTTTAAATAAGGTGACATCAAGGCACAAAACATCTCCATCTTAACAGTACATAAGTTACATGCTTCATCTCTGAACCTAGAAGAATCTAGGCTAACATAAAGATACTGAACAGTAGAGATTCAGTCTGAAAGCAGATGTGATCTCAGCACGAGGCTGTAATGCAATGAAATACCAACATCAGACAATGTGATGAGTATTTTGAAGTGCTACTTGGGAGTTGTGTATTAATGGGGGGTGGGGTGCAAATCCAGCTGTTACGATGCTCCCTTTGCCCTTAATTTAGATAACAGCATCTCATTCTTACGGCACTCCTGCAACAGACAAGATGGTTCGTTTGTTTCCTCAATCCAGAATAATATAAATTATCAACAGATTAATGTCTATACACCCTATGTAAAGGAGAAGGGAAGAAATTCATTTAAAACTAAACTTGTGTGAGTATATACCTCTTTAAAGTCCTTGACGGTTTTAAAATAGAGCCTCTGTTTATCCAGCAGCTCCAAGTACTCATCATTCAGCTGATCTCTGCGCATCTTATTCTCCTGTCTTTTCTTTTCCATCTTTAAGTGCACAAATACACATTAGAAAAACACTAATGTAATTCATGTTCCTGTCTGATGGGGTCAATCCACAAATAGCCAGAGTGGAATTAAACGAATTCATATGCAAAATGGAAATAAATAATATAAGATTTCATCTATTATATGATATAGTAGTCTGGATTTGTACCTTTATGCGACTCTGTTTGATTCCTTCCACAATTTGCTCCATTTGTCTGAGAAACTGTTCTTTACTTCCTGACGAAGCCATGGCTCTGAAAACACACTTTACATTAAACTCTGCCTTCAGGATAGACATTACAATGTCATTACAATAGACATTACAATCTGATGCTCTTGCTGTAATATTAGGAAATTTCTACAAGGATGCTGGAGTTTTATTTGAAACTCACTGCTGGAAATGATCATGTATGGAGTTCAGCAGATTGACCTGTGAAAGAAAAAAAAAAGTGTGTTTCAATATTACTGCACATCCTTTTAAACACAACACTCTTGACTAGAGTTTGATTCTCTTCATAAATACAAGAAAATGAATTCCCAATAGCACATATAACAAAGCTGATACCTCTTTCTCCAGGTACACCTTCTTGTCATCCAGGGTGTTATAGAGAGTGAAGAACTGTTTTGTCTCTTTGTGTGTTGCAGAAACTGAAAAACAAATGAACAATTAAAGAGTGCTTCAAAAAGCCACAGCTTTGATTTCAGCTCATTCAGTTGGATCTATTTTCTAACCAACATCTTAAAGCTATTGAGTAATAGAAGCAGTGAGTTTTTTTTCTTTTGTATTACAACCTACATCTGAGTAATCAGATTGAGAAAGAAAATAATGTAATGTTCAATATAGTTGATACTATAGGTTGTTAATTGGATGGAGGCAGATCTGATTGTGAGCTTGAGGTCAATTGTACAAAAGTGGCAGATATTAAGCAGACTAAAAGACTGGAGAAGTCTGCTGTTTCACTGGAAGGTCGAGGTATATTGGGGTAAAAAAAAAAATGTACAAACATTTTTTTGACATCTTTAAAAAATAGATTCTGACTTTAAACACACACACACACACGCACCTTGGCTGTACAGCTCAATAAAGCGTTTCTGATACTGGGTCAGCTCGGCTCTGCTGGGAACCTCATCAATCTTTCTCTGCAGGATGGCAATCTCGCGGTTCCTCCGAGCCTGTTGGGGACAGTAGAGTAAAACTGAGTATAAAGAATCTCTTAAGTAATCTGCTGAGTAAAACCATCAGTTCAAATTGACCTACCATAAGCAGACGGATCTTCTGCAGCTTTTCTCTGTCTGCAGTGTACTGCTGATCAATCAACATATTCATCTCCTACAAACACACATGCAGAGGGTAAGTCTGAGAAGTAACTAGAATGACACAGATCGGCTCGGTTCCAAAAATTTGGCACATTTCCTTTAGGAGGATTGTTTCAAAAGCTTCTTTTGGTCAAATTGCTAAGGCAGCATTGGGCACAAGAAATATGGCAACTGAAAGAGGCAAGAGAAAAATGGACAAAGTGACAGAGTAAAGGAAAAAGCTTGAAAAATGACCACATTTTGTCCAATATTTGTTTATGATATGTACTGTTATGCTTATTATTCCATTAGCATAGCAGCATCCTAACACCAAAAAGGGTCGCTGCCTATGAAGAGCGTTCCAAATCAGTCACTTAAGAGGTTCCATTTCAGTTAGGATGACTATGTAGGCACCTTCTTCTCATCTCCTCCTTCTCCATACTCCAGCTTCAACTCTTCAATATTCTGCTGCAGACGGGTCATTTCCTCCTATACACACACAACTGTTAAGAATACATTCATATCCTCAACGTTACTGACAAACCAAAGCATTGGAACAACAGGGTTGTCATGATAACATACGCGACAGTGTGAGCGGAACGTTTGCTCTTGATGTTTGAGGGTTTCATTCATGGCCACCAAAGCACGCAGCTTCTCCAGAAACCTGAAAGATAAAAGCAAACACAATACTTCAAAACAACACAAGGATACTGATCCTTCCCAAGAATGATCATGCTGTTTGGCTTTACTTTTTCTCATCTGATTTCTATACACTTTGGTGTTAGCGTGATGCCAAGCTGATGGCACAACGCTCTAATAAGCATAACATACACAAAGAAGCAAATAATCCATTTCTAAGCAGACTGAACTATGTAACCCACATTTACTGTTCAGTGAACTTCGCAGACAAATGCAGTCATTTCAATAGGAATTCACACAATCATGTCCAAATTCAAAGTATTTATAAAACAGAAAAGTACCCTACTACTTCTGGCGACATTAAAACCCCATGAGGCCATGGGAGAGAAGTTGTGAACGGCAGTGAAGAGATGCAACTGATGCCATTAAGTCACATGACAAAGCCAACATGGCAAATGTTGTATGTTCAGACTACATTAATATTCACAGGACATTTATAGTACACACATTCATACTAAATGTATACTTTAAATACAAACAGGAAGTACTTATTCAACAGAAGATTCTACCCCGAGAGCAAGCGATTTCAGATGCAGCCTAAAGGTCCTTGCACACCGACTTCGAAATTTGCTCTTTTCGTTTTCGTATTCGTCATCCTTTCCTATCAAAATGCTTGCTACGGATGCGAAAATGCAGAAAATCGAACCTGATCCGAATTCTTTATGACGTACCAAAGTTTCAGAGGCAGTGTGTAAACATGATTGACGCAACGTGAGGTTGTATTTATTTTTTAACGTGCGAAAATTTCGGACTCAGTGTCCAATGACCTTCAGTTTAGATAATTCCAGGTGTTCTGTTTGCTTACCCAGAATCTGCCTGAGACTCCACGTCCTCCAGTGAGTTCAGCTCTCTCTCCAGCTTTTCAGTCTGTGCTGTGGCCTAAAAAAAACAAACATTAATGGTCCAAGTCAACCAGTTATCTGTCAGTATATGTCTGTGCCTAATTGTCTCACCTCAGCTAGTTTGATTTTAGCATCCTCACATGCCGCTCTAGCCTCCTGCTGTTTGGATTGCAGCTGAATAAATCAAGAAACAATGAAGATATAAACAAAGAGAAGAAACAATGACTGTCAGCATTCTCAAAACTATAATGTGAAGTAATGTGGTATTACCTCTTCGAGCTCTTTTGTTTTGTGAGTGATTCGTTTGTTGAGTGACACCAGTTGACGCCTGTGTTGCTGCGCAGGTCCAAATCTTTCCGGCCGATCCTCCACAGAGCGCTCCGCCTGCCCAATCACACATAAATGTAGAAGGTTGGAACACGCTATACAACTTATAAAATGAGAACATTTTAATTTTATTGCAAATTCCAAAATTGTATTCCAGTCTCAAGTCATTGTTCTTGTTGTAAAAATAAAGGCACTGTTTCCTAGAGGTTCAGTGGAGTTCTATCACTGTTCACCTTCTCGGCATATTCAGTGGCAATTTGCTTGATCTCCTCAGACTGCAGTCCAACAATCTGCCCCACTGTGCTGGCTGACAACTTCCCCTAAAAACACACACAGAAATAGAGTAAAATAAGGAGACTGCTAAGTTTATATATTTTTTTCTTAAAGGCTGCCTTGATAAGAAAGAGTGGACATACAAGAAAATAATTCACCTTTAAACTAAGG